TGTAAATCTCACATGAGTGTGATTAATCAATTTGCTACATGACATCGACATGCATGCATGCATGTATGTTACATGTATGTACACACATATATAGCATGACATGCACAAATATAATAAACCATTCAAATTTTTAGGTGAATGAAAAATGATAGTTTACATGTTCAAAGGAGAGAGACCAAGAGAGAGAGAGAGATTGAAAGCAGGTCAATACTCAAGATCTAGGGTTTCTCATCTCCATCCCAGAACAGTACTCTCTTGTGTTGTTTACTCTCGTGGTTTTGCATGCTGATCGATGTTTTTTTCTTCTAAACAACAGTTTTCTCTCTGTCCTGCCTTGGAAGAAAAAGGAAGAGAGAGGTAGATGATTAAGCTCTTAAATTTCTAAACTACCAGCAGAAAATCAGGCAGAAATCATCTGTTCATCTCCATCTGTAATTCTGAGCTTCAGGAAGCTAGCTGACTAATTAGAAAGATGGAGGGAAGTGGGGGCACTGAATGTTCTAAACAACCGCTTCAAAAGAAATTCAAGAAGAGAGCGAGAGTGAAGAGCGCGATGTGAAAGTAAGGCAAGAAATGGTGGAAGCTCAGCAATAGTACGTTGAAGAGAATGAGAAGAAGCCGTCAGTTAGGCCTTATGTTAGATCCAGCTGCCAAGGCTTCGATGGACTCCTGATCTTCATCTTCGTTTGCTCATGCTGTTGAAAGCTTGGTGGACAAGAGAGATGAGTTCATATTTAACTAGCCACTATATATAGTCATATCAGGCTCTGTGGAAAAGTCTTGTTACTAATCTCTGATTCTCTTTTGGGTTCAGGAGCGACACCAAAGCTGGTTCTTCAGTTGATGAATATCAAAGGACTCAGTTATTGCTCATGTCAAGAGCCATTTCAGGTTAGTAATTGGCTAACAATCCTCATGTTAATTGATACAGTTCATTCATCTTGAAATTAGATAATTTTAATAAATCTCTAACAATTTTTTTCTCTTCTCTGCCTACTTCCTTTTTTTTTTTTTTTTTTTTTTTCAGATGTATAGAAGCAAGAAGATCGATGATACAGGTCAAGGTAACACAAATATCTCTCTGTATTCTATATTCTTATTTTCGTTTCTGTTGAGCAAAAATTATTGTTTTCCATCATGTGGCATGGGCAACTAATAATGCATTCAAGTGCTTCTTTCATTGCAGCTGGCGATCATAGCATCTTGTGGAAAGTGGAGATCGCAATATTTATAATCTTAGCCAACTTCCTATGCTACAAGGATACCAAAGCCATCGTTCTAGTTTCAGGTATAAATTATTAACAGTCTTATTTATATAATTCTTTATTCAATTCAACATTTATGAATCTAAATTCCCAAAAAATAATTTTGCTCTTTGCTAGATATGGAGATGCTGCAGCTTGGAGTGCTCGTGAATACTTTCTGCGTGGTCCTCGTATTGCCGGAGTTTAATTGATGAGACCAGACCAAGATTATATGGCACGGTGGCTGAAAGGATCTTTGATAGCAACAATAGCAATTGGGCTAACCGCAATTTCCGTAGGGTTCTTCCTCTTATGGGGCAAATTCTATTTGGAAATGCATGAATTGAAAGAAGAATTCAATCATCTCACAAGCATGACATCTGGCAATTACCTCAATCAAGATTTCGCCAAATTGAACCTAACCCCGTAACCCACAGCTACAAGCGAAACTAGAAGAACATATGGTTCTAATAAAATGTCCCTTCAGATTTGAACTCGGCCACTAATATTAATATCAAGAATGCAACAAGTCGACCATGAAAAGAAAGGCTTCGGATTGTAGCCTTGATTTGGATCTATCTCTGAGGCTAAAACCTAGTGACGATCATGATCATAAACATCATCAGAGCCCGAGCGAGGTTTGGAGGAGAGCGAAGTTGACAGTAAGTTATCTTTATCTTTGTACTCACCATCATCATCTTCAAAGCATGGCAGGTTTGAAGAAGACGGATGTATAAAGGCATGCTAGAAGGGCAAGTACTCTAGATCTGACTATATGAATGAGAAAATTCTAATGGAGATATTGAGGTACTTATCCAAGAAGAGCATTAATATATGAATATTTAAATGTATTGTTACCAACCAAAATTAAAATAAATCCGTAGCAGTTGCATTGGTGAAGCTTCTCTGAAACTGGAAAGACTGATTCTAAAACCCACAATTTTATTAATTAAAACCTCAGATGGGATCCATGGATGCATGAATCCACATCATGGTGGCCGTGGCAGTGGCAGTGGCAGTGGCAGGCATGGCATCATCAGTTGATTGATTCCAATATATTTTTGATTTATTGTTCATTATATTAATGCATGGTCCACGACCAAGCTCAAGCAGATTTTGTATAAAACGACAGACATCCTCATTCTGAGAAATGTATGGTAGATCCGCATTAGTAGGTTAACGTATTCTCATGCAGATTAAAAAATTAGAATAAAAAATATATAGATGATAAGAAAAACACTGTTGGGGGTTGACTTCACAGGCTAGTTGCTGAAGTGAATCTTTTTGAGACCTCAATTTTTAATATAGATGGATTGTTATTTAATAAGTTTCCATTTTATTTTTCTCTCTTCCATGTTTGTCATATGGGTCTTAAGTAGCTAGAATAGGATGCTCTTTCAGCCATGGCATGCAGTCAAGAATTTTTAATCATTTAAACATTTTTAAGCACAGTATTAGTAAGAACAATATCAATTGTGATTGGCACGAGAAAGATATACATTAGGATGCAATCGATTTATGCGATTCAATTCTTTAATATAATATAAATCAACCTAATAATGTATAGATGATATTGTTAGAATTGGTGACCATTTCAACAATAAGGGGTTCACTTATAAGAGGCGACACACTTGGGGGTCCTGATGAGGGGCAGGGGTAAGGGTAGGGGAAAGCGACACAACGCCCCTGGAAACCGTAAGTGGTTTGGCTAAATGCCATGAATAGCCGTTGTAAAATCCTCTAAGGAATAAGATTCTTAATAGGGTTTAGCATAGGTAATAGTTTTATGTTTCTCTTCATAAACTTAGTATATAAACGTAAAATCATAATATATACTTTCATTGTAACGAGAAAGACCAAAAAATATTTTAATAATATTAACTAGATCTGGACGTAGTTCAGACATGGATGAACCAAGATAAATAGTGCGTGTTCTTTCTTTTTATTATTTTTTGTTATTTGTGTGTGATTAATCTTAGTTGGATTCCAAACACTTTTTAGTTCTTTCAAATATGAGATGCATGCTATACCTAAAACTTTTCCAAAGGAGGATTGGTAAGTATCAATAAAACTTCACGTGTGCCGATCAGCAAATTGATATTATGAGCAGTAAAGGGAGCTGATGAGTTAGGAAGTTTGTGTTCTTTGTGAGTTGCAGCTTTTGACAGCTTGTTTCAAGATTTGGAGTTGGGGATCCAATAGCACCTCGTTAGTTAATTACAGAAAAATATGAGATTTGAAGGCAGCCAAAGGTACGTTTTGTCTGTGGAATTGGTTAATTTAGAATATATTAGCTGCAAATGGCTAACTAAAGATGGATCGACGAATCGTGTATAGAATCAATGCCTCGGTAATAAAAGAATAGTTTAAAAGATCAAAGAAAAATAAAAATGACAACTCTTACAGGTTACAACTGCTGGACGAGATCCCTGTGATTGATTAGAACAGTGCCAACAAAAAAGAACCCTAAGTTTCTTTATCATGGTAGACTTTCCGATATGGGTCAATCAATTTTCACGGCTAGCAATACACGTGGGAGGAATGGAAAAGCTACTTCATTCACAACTACGTTGTACTTGTCATTCAAAGATGAATTAAATCCTCTCAGAGTCAGTCATCCAACACATAATGAAATTGAAAGGCTAAAAAACGCACCGTAGAGGTAGGATTAATATATATATATAAAAGTTGATCTTGGTTTACAGAACAGTACGTTGTTCAATTATTAAGAAGAAACATGGGTCATCTGGGGGATGACGTGGTATGAATAAGTGTTAAAGAGTCTCCATTTCCCCGAGAAGGAACAAAGCCCGTGATTCCCGATAGAAAGCCAATTTCATAATCTTCTTTTGAGTCTGGGCCACCTTCAACTACAGCAAAGCATCGCCACACATGCATGCTTCAACTAAGATCGATCCATGCTCATCATCTACATTTAATTTACTCTTTTATTTCTGCTGTACTACCCACTATAAGTATAATTAAGCACCTAAGATTAGAGATCTTGTATGAGTGATATCGAAAAATATAACAACTACATTTATTGTAACGAGAGAGGTAAGGTAATATTGACTCTACTGGATAGTCCAGATTTGAGTGAACCAGGATAAATCCGCACGTGTTTCATTCTCTTTATTGGTTCTCTATTTGTGTGTGATTAATTTAAGTTTGATTCCAAATACTTTCTAGTTCTTTCAAGAGACCGGTGGATCCAAATGTATTTTGGGGAAGAAAATTGAATGTGTGAACAGGAGAATTTCATATGAAGTTTCCTTATATTTTTGTTATATACTACTTCAAATATAATAGTTTGAAATTACAATAGGGACAATTTCAATATATGGCATGAATTTCTAGGATCTTGATCATTTAGCCTAGAGACAAAACTAGGACAAAAGTCTACTTTAAATTAAGTTCATCAAGTTCAAACTGATGAGTTCCGACAAAATAAAAGAGTTTTGAACTAACAAAAAAAAAAAAAAAAAATTATCCTTTTCTGCAATAGTAAACGTATTTGTCTGATCAATTCCTATTATATATATATATATATATAATATAATACGCATGTCAAATTACAAAGCTATCCCAAGTTCATTTCTCGAAAAGAATAATGTATCTCACATGAGTGATGATTAATCAATTTGCTACATGACATCGACATGCATGCATGCATGTATGTTACATGTATGTACACACATATATAGCATGACATGCACAAATATAATAAACCATTCAAATTTTTAGGTGAATGAAAAATGATAGTTTACATGTTCAAAGGGAGAGAGACCAGAGAGAGGAGAGGAGATTGAAAGCAAGGTCAATACTCAAGATCTAGGGTTTCTATCTCCATCTCCATGGAACAGTAACTCTTCTTGTGTTGTTTACTCTCGTTGGTTTTTGCATGCTGAGATCGATGTTTTTTTTCTTCTAAACAACAGTTTTCTCTCTGTCCTGCCTTGGAAGAAAAAGGAAGAGAGAAGGTAGATGATTAAGCTCTTAAATTTCTAAACTACCAGCAGACAAATACAAGGCAGAAATCATCTGTTTCATCTCCATCTGTAATTCTGAGCTTCAGGAAGCTAGCTGACTAATTATAAGAAAGATGGAGGGAAGTGGGGGCACTGAATGTTCTAAAACAACCGCTTCAAAAGAAATTCAAGAAGAGAGCGAGAGTGAAGAGCACGATGGTGAAAGTAAGGCAAGAAATGGTGGAAGCTCAAGCAATAGTACGGTTGAAGAGAATGAGAAGAAGCCGTCAGTTAGGCCTTATGTTAGATCCAAGCTGCCAAGGCTTCGATGGACTCCTGATCTTCATCTTCGTTTTGCTCATGCTGTTGAAAGACTTGGTGGACAAGAAAGTGAGTTACATATTTAACTAGCCAGCTATATATAGTCATATCAGGCTCTGTGGAAAAGTCTTGTTACTAATCTCTGATTCTCTTTTGGGTTCAGGAGCGACACCAAAGCTGGTTCTTCAGTTGATGAATATCAAAGGACTCAGTATTGCTCATGTCAAGAGCCATTTACAGGTTAGTAATTGGCTAACAATTCCTCATGTTAATTGTATCAGTTCATTACTATCTTGAAATTAGATAATTTTAATAAATCTCTAACAATTTTTTTCTCTTTCTTGCCTACTTCCTTTTTTTTTTTTTTTTTTTTCAGATGTATAGAAGCAAGAAGATCGATGATACAGGTCAAGGTAACACAAATATCTCTCTGTATTCTATATTCTTAATTTTCGTTTCTTGAGCAAAATATTGGGTTTTCCATCATGTGGCATGGGCAACTAATAATGCCTCAAGTGCCTCTTTCATTGCACATGGCGGACATAGGCATTTGTGGAAAGTGGAGATCGCAATATTTATAATCTAGCCAACTTCCTGCTACAAGGATAACCAAAGCCATCGTTCTAGTTTCAGGTATAAATTATTAACAGTCTTATTTATATATTCTTTATTCAATTTCAACATTTATGAATCTAAATTCCCCAAAAAATAAATTTTGCTCTTTGCTAGATATGGAGAGCTGCAGCTTGGAGTGCTCGTGAATACTTTCTGCGTGGTCCTCGTATTAGCCGGAGTTAATTGATGAGAACAGACCAAGATTATATGGCACGGTGGCTGAAAGGATCTTGATAGCAACAATAGCAATTGGGCTAACCGCAATTTCCGTATGGGTTCTTCCTCTTATGGGGCAAATTCTATTTGGAAAATGCATGAATGAAGAAGAGAATTTAATCATCTCACAAGCAGACATCTGGCAATTACCTCAATCAAGTTTCGCAAATTGAACCTAACCCCGTAACCCAACAGCTACAAGCGAAACTAGAAGAACATATGAGTTCTAATAGAAATGTCCCTTCAGATTTGAAAATCGGCCACTAATATTAATATACAAGAATGCAACAAGTCGACCATGAAAAGAAAGGCTTCGGATTGTAGCCTTGATTGGATCTATCTCTGAGGCTAAAACCTAGTGACGATCATGATATAAACATCATCAGAGCGCGAGCGAGGTTTGGAGGAGAGCGAAGTGACAGTAAGTTATCTTTATCTTTGTATCACCATCATCATCTTCAAAGCATGGCAGGTTGAAGCAAGGACAGGATGATAATAAGAGGCCTGCTAGAAGGGCAAGTACTCTAGATCTGACTATATGAATGAGAAAATTCTAAGTGGATATTGAGGTACTATCCAAGAAGATGCATAATTATATGAATATTTAAATTGTATTGTACCATTATACAAATTAATTCCATATTATTGTTTTTCACTATATAGCTTCATTACCATTATAATTTCCTACCTTATTTGAAATCTATTAGTCTAATTACAAACAGCCACATTACATTTCCATTTCCACCATGCCTGACTTGATACAGTTTGAAGGAATCAAGGAAATCAACTAGAATGTGAGCAAATTGAGAGTTCTACATTCATATAAAACTTAATTGTAGTTCAGACAAACGTATACAACTAAGTAAAACAAACTGGTAATTTTTGGATTTCGACTTAGATTTTGGTGCAGAGATCTTGATTTCATGGTCTCTGAAACCAGATATCTATGGAGATCCTTCTTCTATTTTCCTCGCAGCAGCATATAAGCCAAACCCAGCGCTTTAGTTCTTCAATAAGCACTGTGATTCAGCTGTAAAGAAGAGTAGCTCCCCATTACCAGATGTCTATATATCCATAAAAATTCAATTATGTATCTGGAAAATCAAGAGTCCAATTACCTTGCTTTGAAAATTTCTCATATTCAAGGCTGCTTCTCATCCTTCATCTCATTGTTCTTCATTTTCGAATCTGCACCGAGTTTTGTAGTAATATACTTGCGAAGCCATCATAGATAATCTAGCCTGTACATGAAACCGGAAGAAACTGTATATTAATTAAGAATAATTAAATTAAAAAGATGAGATATATCGATATAGACACGAATACCTCTTAGCATCTATTTCTCTCTGAGTTTGTCTATGTACTCTTCTTTCGAAGCTGACATCTTTGAGCAGACTCTCTGTTTGCGAGAGCTCTACAAAACAAACCCAGAAAATTATGAATACATTATACAGATGAACAAAAATAATAAATTCAGTGAACAGAAAATAATTAAATCAACCGTTTTATATTTTGGAGTCAATGCCGGAGTCGCAGAACCCACGATCCGTTTTTTAATCTTATCAGTTTCACTAGAAAGATCAGAAACGAGTGTGATCATTCCATGTCAGAGCTGGGGCCTTTTCTGAAGGAAATGAAGAATTTAGATATTTCATTGTTGTGATGAATTCATGACTTGTAGTATCATCACCACTACTGTAGGTTCCAGTTGATATTCTCCTGGGTGAAGGTTCACCAACACCTGTAGTAATCAAATCGAGTCCAGGAGATAGAGAATCGCTAGCTGAACGTCTGTGAGGAACCTGAGTTGTGAGGCCTCCAAGATCGACGACGTGCATTCTCCATGTTACTGCAAGAATCCGAGAAACTCTCTTTCGATTCACCATTATAAGTGAAGGAACGGATTTTCAGGCCCTATAATATAGCCTTTGTATATATAAACAAGAGTTTTCAGATTGTAGACGAATAGCTCTCTCCAGTTTTCAGGCCCTATCAATTTGTAATTTTGGTATTATTCATGTATATAGCAAGCAATAACTATATAGCGATTTCAAACCATACAACTTCATTTTGTGATTGTCATAGAAATTAGTGTTTACAAGGTAATTAAATTAAAATGCTTCATATGGGTTAAAAACAGAAATAACTTACAACGAACAACTTAATTCTCACCCATATTAAAAAAACAGAACCACATGCATGATGTGAAATAGTTGAAAAGGCGAAAACCATGTAACCAAAAATAAAAATAAAATAAAATAAGAATTTGGCCCATGCAGGTCTCGAACCTGCGACCTTCGCGTTATTAGCACGACGCTCTAACCAACTGAGCTAATAGGCCAGTTGGTTTTATGGCTGGCTAATTATTAAGTAACATATATTTAATATATTTAATGAAAACTAACATATAGTATTTGAATACTAAGATTTTTGATGTCCAAGATGGTAATTCCTACACAATAGTAATATTGAATACAAAATTCAAAACCTTGATGTCCAAACTAGCTATAAGATAATTTAGTAAACTTTTGATGTAAAACTATGGGTTTTTATCCATCATCCCTTAAGGAGATGAAGAAGTTATAACACTCCCACGGTTTTCTGAAAAATCAGGTGGCTTTTTTTTTATACTTTCTTTGTGCGTACAAAATATTTTCCAAAACGCCCACCGTGGGGCTCGAACCCACGACCACAAGGTTTAGAGCCTTGGCTCTACCAAACTGAGCTAGAAGGGCCTCTCTGTTGCAAATGTCTTTCTTTTATTATTGATAGAATCTTCAATAATTTTTATGGACTGTTATATATAACCCCTGAGAAATAGTGAAATATAGACACACCATGATTTTTAAAAAGTATTGTATATCCCAGATTATCATTACCTCTTTAGATTTAATTTTATTTAGATTTGACAACAAACTCATACCGTCCTTAACCTTTGGCCTTTAACTTTAATTCGATGTTAGAATTAATGATTTGACGCATTGTCCCTTAAATACATGTTGAAATTATGATTTGACCTTTAATAAACTTCATTTTTTAAAGCATGAACCACTTCTCAGTTCAATCAATAATTGTCTACTGAGCCACTAGACCCACCAGGCCACCGCCACCCATCATTTTGTTTCAGGAATAACGTAGATAGAATTGAGTCTGATTTTTCGTTTTATATGGGCGGTACATCCATAGGTTTAACCACTATCACCAAAAACAAACTCATCAAGAAAAGATGATATTAACAACTACACAACAAAGCATAAATTGAATTAATTATGGTTACGCTTGATTTTGGACGTCAACGACTCGCACGTGGGAAACGCTTAGCTAACTCAGGAGACACACGTGATGGATACATGGGATTTGAATATGAAGCTGAGATTATATTTTGCAAAAAAATGAATAAAAGATTGACAAGAGGGGGTTTTTATGTGGTTCAGATGCAACAAGCGACTCTCCATCCACTGTTATTTTATGATCTTCACTTTTCTATAAATTTGCCCGTAAGGCATACAAAGATGAAGAAATACAGTGTTTTTACAGAGAGAAAGAATTGAAGCTAAATCTCAGCCCAGCCTCCAGCCTTCCTTCTTCGGGAAGAGAATGCCAAATTATTCACATTTGCACTCAATGCAATGAGAGCTTTTGCAAACTGCCTTGACACATGGAAGGCTCTCGTCCATTCATCTCTTTGAAATGAGATAAAGTTGGTGAGAATATCTTTGAAGATATGGGCTTGGCAGCTAGTACAAAGAGACATTAATTGTGCTGACATAGGCTTGACTTTTGAGGCATAACAGAAGCCCCCCAGTTTTTGAAGTGCGTAATCGCGCTTCAGAAAACTAAGTCTTTGATTGAATTGGCAGTCTCGAACTGAAGAGCTCGAACTGAAATCTGTTAGGAAGTGATCAGAAATCTGTTAGGAAAACGACCTGAAATCTGTTAGGAGTGACCAGAAAGATTAGGAGTGACAGAAATCTGTTAGGAAAACGACCAGAAATCTGTTAGGGCGACCAGAAATCTGTTAAGAACAACGACCCGAAATCTGTTAGGAGCGACCAGAAATCTGTTAGAAAACGAGCAGAAATTGTTAGGAGCTCGACCTGAAAGGTCATAACGAGCTCAATTTGAGCAAAACGAGCTCAACTTGAGAGCAAAACGACCTCGACCTGAGAGGTCAAAACGAGCTCAAAAAGCCAACGCCTCAATTTTAGAGGTCAAAACGAGCTAATCGAGCAAAACGAGCTAACTTGAGAGCAAAACGACCCGACCTGAGAGGTTAAAACGACCTGAATGAGCGAAACGACCTCAACTTAGAGGTCAAAACGAGCTCAATGAGCAAAACGACCCGTGAGAGGTCAAAACGAGCTGAATGAGCAAAACGACCTCAATTTGAGGTAAAAAAGAGCTCAATGAGCAAAAAGACTCAACTTGAGAGCAAAACGACCTCGACCTGAGAGGTTAAAACGACTGAATGAGCGAAACGACCTCAACTTGAGAGGTCAAAACGAGCTCAATGAGCAAAACGACCTGACTGAGAGGTCAAAACGAGCTCAATGAGCAAAACGACCTCAATTTGAGAGGTCAAAACAATCTGAATGAGCAAAATGACCTAACTTGAGAGGTCAAAACGAGCTCAATGAGCAAAACGACCTCAATTTGAGAGGTCAAAACGAGCTCCATGAGCAAAAAGAACTCAATTGAGAGGTCAAAACGAGCTCAATGAGCAAAACGACCTCAATCTGAGGTCAAAACGAGCTCAAAAAGCAAAACGACTCAACTTAAGAGGTCAAAACGAGCTCGACCTGAAAAGGTCAAAACGAGCTCAACCTGAGAGATCAAACGAGCTTACCTAAGAGCACAAGAGATCAGCGATCTCAGCGTGTGATCAGCGATCTGAACACGCGATTTGAAGCTAAAGATCCGCGATCTAAAGCTGAGGATCAGGATGGCATGGGCGTGCGATCTGCGATCTAGCCACGCGATCGGAGAACTCTGATGCGTGCGATCTGCGATCTGGCCACGCGATAGGAGAATTCTGATGTGCGATCGAAGAATTCTAACGCGTGCGATCTACGATCTGGCCACGCGATCGGAGAACTCAGACGTGGGCTTGAGATCTGAGCACGCCATCAAGGAACTTTGATGCAGGTTTGAGAATCGGACCTGCATGGGCCACCAAACTGTTGACGCTTGATTTTGGACGCCAACGACTCGCACGTGGGAAACGCTGAGCTAACTCAGGAGACACACGTGATGGATACATGGGATTTGAATATGAAGCTGAGATTATATATTTTGCAGAAAAATGAATAAAAGATTGGCAAGAGGGGGTTTTTATAGTAGTTCGGATGCAACAAGCGACTCCTACATCTACTGTTATTTTATTTGATCTCTCACTATTTCTATGAATTTGCCCGTAAGGCATACAAAGATGAAGAAATACAGTGTTTTTACAGAGAGAAAGAATTGAAGCTAAATCTCAGCCCAGCCTCCAGCCTTCCTTCTTCGGGAAGAGAAATGCCAATTTATTCACATTTGCACTCAATGCAATGAGAGCTTTTGCAAACTGCCTTGACACATGGAAGGCTCTCGTCCATTCATCTCTTTGAAATGAGATAAAGTTGGTGAGAATATCTTTGGAGATATGGGCTTGGCAGCTAGTACAAAGAGACATTAATTGTGCTGACATAGGCTTGACTTTTGAGGCATAACAAATTAGATGCTTAATTAATTTCTAATTGTTTTAAGTATCACACTTAATTACCATGAAGCCATATGATTAACTTCAACGAAGAAGTATATACATATTCTCAGATAAGAAGAACAGAACAAAGGAATCTGGGCATGAATAATTAATACATTAATGCAGTAATTAACCTGCTGCTTAATAATTCTCAAACTCTCCACTCTCCTATACTATCCGCATAATCACTTACTTGGAAATCATGAGCGTATTGATTTATTAAAAGAGAAACTGAAGATCTTTGATAAGTTACACTGAATATTGATGCTGATTCTCGTATTGTTGTTGATGCTGCAACTTGGAAACAGTTTGAAGATGATCCTGGAACTGTACAGCTGGGAGATTTCTCGGAAACACTTGCTCCAGTGAGCAATGCGTTGTGTGATGAGGTCCCTTAGAACGCTTCTTCAAATAAAGAGAAACCAGTAAAAAGAAAAGAAAAATGACAAAAAGGAGAACAAATATCAGCATCATGATCTCACCATGTACAGCAAAGTTCGGGTCATCGGAAAAGAGAACTTCATCTTTCTGATAACCAGAACTATTGCCAGGCGACATTGAAGCTGTAAATGAAGAATTCCCACTAGCCATGTAAAACCAACCCAGAAAAGAAAACAAAAACAAAACCTAAAACTGAAAGCTTAAGACGATTTTCACACTGAGAATACTACATCAAAACCTGGACACAACAAGTGATAAATGCACAACCAATAATGTAAAAGACAAGAAGTAGAATATGGAGGCTTGTGAATGAAAGAAATGGTGCCAAAATTATGTACAGAAACGTGGGGTCTTTACCCTGTTCTATCGACTGTAGGATAAGCATCAAACGGGAGCTGTGGCTTTCACAGTTCATTGATGAGGATGTCATTTTCTTGGGACAACAATGATTTCAATTATATGGGCAATTTAATTTTGAGAATTAAAATCTGTCGCAGTCTCTACCATTTCCTTGAAGCAGCTTTGTGATGGGAAAGTCACCAAGGAATATATAAATAAATATCTATATTGGACGACATAGCTATCTCTATTTAGATACTGTAGAGATAAGGTGACGCCTGTCCATGGCCTCTTTCGTCTTTACATCATCATCCATTTCATCCTGACGTTGTTAATGAGAGCATCCAATTAGCATTAGCCACATCATTGAAACGAAAGATCTGTGTCATTCACATGTTATTCTTATTCAGAAGGCAATGATTCTAACTTCTAATGAAGGAAACCCGAGTAAACGTCTATTTTTTTCACCCAACAAATTTTAAAATATCACTTTTTCACCCAAAGTTTATATTCCATTACTACTTAAAACCGATTCCATTATATTCCATAGGCAAAAATTCTCTCCGTCACCTCTATAAACCCTTTTCACTATGACTCTTAATTTTTCATCGATTGTTGGTCATGTAAATTTAGAGTTTTTTGTTCTTAACTGATTTTCGATGACGAATATTCAATCGGTCACTACTATTTAATCAACTGACCTCTACTTTGTAAAAATCATCTTATTCTGGTTTTAATAACTTACCAACGTTGACTAAAAAAATAAAGTATGTTTTAGATATTAATCTAATATAAACGTCAAACCTTTTAAATGGGAAAATGTCATTATAGCAAACCTTAGGTGGGAAAAAGTCCTTTTCTCAATGAAACCCTCAAAATACAGAACAAAATACCTGCGGCCCCACTAAATGTCCTGGCCAGATCATCGAAATTTGATTACAAAATAATAATGTCGGGTCCAAAATCCAAACGTTCTTCGGCTGTCATAACTTTTTACTGCCTAATTTTAATTTTTTTCTAAGGAGATATTGAAGGAAATGTGGTGTCAACTACAGCGTCGGTGAGGGCAGAGGCAGACAAAGTGAGAGTCACATGTGTACATATTATAGCGGCGGCTTAATATTGGCGCTAACCTTTGTCGCCAGATTCCATACGGAAGGTAGAAGATGTGACTGCACACAAAATTATTGACACCCAAAATAATGTCCACCGTCCGTGGGGCTGCTACACTGTACAAATGAATACGATTTAGTACCTTATTAATTTCTTGCGATTGATTTTGTCTTAAACGAAGGGCCTAGATGGGCTTGGGTATCCCATAAAGGAAAGCAACCTCCCAACGGCTTACCACTTAGGATCCCCTATGTTTTATCTCTCCACTTTACTCCCTTTCCAAATTACCTCCTTGTTATATGTATCATTCTCAACCCAAGTCCAAGTCCAATTCCTGTTCATCTTCTTCTAACTTAGTCTCCGGCTTAGCTATCCCTCGTGAATGTCAAGACCTTGTACAAACCTATAGTCTTGATGATAAATGCCAAAACCCTCGTGTTTTCTTACCAAATCTGTTGTATCCAAGTTCACGGCCAACCTATGTATGATATGTTGGGTATTCGTCTTGATTACCGTTTTGCAAAAATCTTTTGTAGATAAAGGTATCATAGTATTTTAAAAAAAAAATTATTAACAATGACTCTTATCTCCAATATAAACACTTTATGCGAATCAAGTTCTAGTAATTTTCTGGTCATATAATCATCCTTTCTATATAATATGGTCAATATATTAACTGAGTAGTGGTTGTCGTATTGAACAAAAAATCTTTTTGATTACAAAGACTATTTTCTGTAATATTATTCTAAGTTCTACATTAAACATTCTCTTCTTCATGTATTTTATGTATGCAATATTGAATGTATGCTTTATTTGTATTTTCCATTGGGAATTTCATGGAAAAGTTATTACAGCTTTCCTTGATTCTTTGTCGAAGATATTTTCTTGTTTCAACTTTCAATAATTCTTTGTGGATGATATTCAAATCTATTGTATAAAAGTAAAATAAGAATATAATTTTTAATTAAAATTATGACCTATTGGAATGTAAACACTTTTTGATAATTGATGAAGAAAAGGCAAGTAAAAAGAAAAGGTAAACAAGAAAAGAAAAATTAAGTTTTAGGCAAATTTCTAGTTTAGGAATTTGTAATTGAAGAATATTTGTTTTCCTTTACTTTAAGTTGTATTAGAAAAGTAGAATTGGTTTAGGAGAATGAAGTTAAATACAGAAGTTCTATTAGGAATAGGAATATGAATCATATTAGAAATTGGATGTCTCATATACCACCTATAAATATAAAGGTTAGAATCAATTCAAGGTTATGAGAAAAGAAAATAAAGAAAGAGAGAATGTGAGGATACAAGGGGTTTTAATGTAAAGGTACCACCGGTATTGGGTATCGGTTTAATACCATAGGGTATTAAAGACCATCGGAATAAGATGTCTGCCTATGTAAAGGTACTAGGTTGAGAATTATAGTGGATCTCTCTCATCCGTGGATGTAGGCGAGTTATACCAAACCACGTAAAATAGCGTATACCTTTGTGTGTTGTTATTGTTGTTCTTTACACCTTCGATTTTTAACATGGTACCTACTAAAAATAGAAGATGAGGGCTATAGAAGAAATGGTGGTGCTAAAAATCATCATTTCCCTGACACAAATAAGATGCTTGTGGTAATCTTTGGGTCTCTTAGGCCAATTACAAATACAAGCATAAGAAAACTGAAGCTAGGCTTGAGGTTGACAATTTCAATTTACAAAGTTGTGGCAGTTGGCAAATTTGGCAACTAGCAGGGGTTCATATCAGGGATTGTGGTGGTAAAAGCAGCGGTTTTTGTAAGCAACTATGCATACTTTTTCCAACTTGCAATGGAATCTGCATAGTATTCCCAGTCAATTCCCTTCTAATGAATACGGTTCTTCTGTCCCCGCAATTGATTGTTAAATATGAAGGCTTCACTTGACTGTCTCATTCCATAATGGAAACCAGAGTTAATTAATAATTTAATGAAATGAAAAATGGAAATTCCATTGAATTACAAAGTTGATGTTAACTGGAAATGTCATTTTTACTTTCAAGTATATCCACATTATTGGTATATATTCTCTAGATGTGATTCTGTCACACCGTAATTTTTTATATTTGGCTCAATTTATATAATAAGATAAGCTTGTGTTGTGCCCTGAACAAGCATGAATAGTGAGATGGGATGCATTAAAGAGGAGAATTGTGGAAGCCAGACGCTCCAAAAACTTGCAGAGCAGCTTTACTCTTACAAATCCCCTAGTGTTAGTGCCAGTGAAGAAGAAGAGAGCAAGTATTGTGATATTATTGGCTCAAATTTTGGATACATGGAGTCTCTAGTAGTGCCAAATGAGCATTGCTGTAGCTGTGTAAATTGGAGGAAGAAGAGAGCAGCTGTCTTGATTTGCCTCTTCGAAGGCCATGAAGGGGAGCTGCGTGTTATTCTGACTAAGAGATCTATGAAATTGTCTTCTTATCCAGGTAATGTGTAAGTACAAATGCCAGTTATTAATATAAATATTTTTGTCATAGAAAAATGGTGGCTGAAGTATTATTTATCTTCGGGGACAGGGGATGTAGCACTGCCAGGAGGAAAAATGGAAGAAGGAGATGAAGATGATTCTGCAACTGCACTAAGAGAAGCCATGGAAGAGATCGGATTGGATTCTGAATTGGTTCAAATTGTTGCCAATTTCGAGCCTTTTGATTCCCAGGTACAATTTCTTTCTTTTGTTTATTTTTTCGGGGTCCAAAATCTAAATTTCAGAATGGACTTCATGCAGAACCAGCTTAAGGTTGTCCCTGTGATAGGCCTGCTATCCAGGATTGAAGATTTCAATCCTGTTCTCAATGCCGATGAAGTTGATGCCATTTTTGACGCCCCTCTAGAAATGTTTCTCAAGGTTTAATTTTCACCCTCTTCCTCCAGTAAATTAATTATTCAAATGTCTGAGAAAATAACGTTGTGAAATGTGAGCATTTGACAAAGGGACACAAGCTTTTCGGCTTTTATTATTCTTTATCTTTTGACTGGGAGATCAAGTGAAATGATAAAACGTGGGTCACAGAAGCTGATGTTTGATTATTAAATTTTCCAGGGAGATAATCATAGAATTGAAGAGAGGGAATGGATGGGTTGGAAATATCTTCTCCATGATTTTCGGTTCAAGTCGAAGCAAGGGGCTGCTTTTCACATTTGTGGTTTGACCGCAAGCATTCTAATCAGAGCAGCCTCTGTTATCTACCAAAAGGCTCCAGATTTCGAGCATGAACATCTTCCTGACTTTCAACAGTTGCAAAAGACCTTAAATAATATGGCTTAATCACTTAATTCTACTACTTTTAACAGTGCAATTACGATGTAATATCTATATGTCAAATTCATCCAGTAATTAGTTTCTCAGAAACTCCTCAGAGTCTATCCTTGACATGGGTCGACTTTGATAGTTTGATTCAGCCTGGAATAGATTGGTTAATCTTAAAAAGATGAGCAATTTGATCATGATCAATTGATCCCATGTTTGAAATTGCATCATGTTTCTGCTTGAAAAAAATTTAGAACACAACAAAATATCAGTCAAACTATCAGGATGATGATCACATTCTTATTTTCCAATTATTTATAATTTGATTACTATTTACCGAGTCTTGACGGACCCAGCAGAGAAAATTCCTTACGCTTTCTAGATGGACAATTAGACCAATAAGAATAGTACTAGTCACTTCGTACTTGAGTCTCCTCATAATTTAATCGTGCGAGAAAGCAGCTGCATAATCCTTTCATTTTCACAGGAACCTTCCAAAATAGTTTTCTAAAATTTAGCAGCTGATCAAACGAATGAAGTCTGTAAATGCTTTCTACCTTTCCCTACACGCCAATCCACCAAACCTCTATATATATTAAAGTCTTCGCAAACACATCTCTTACAAAGATATTGGCTTCAGAGATTCAGAAAGCCCAATATCAAGACAAAAATCAAAACAAAACTTTCAAATTTTTCGCCCCAAGTTGAGCCATGGCTACCCTTCAAATACCAATTGCTTACCAAGAGAAACTCCCGTCGGTTCCTGACTGGCTTAACAAAGGCGACAATGCATGGCAGCTTACAGCAGCCACTCTCGTGGGCATCCAAAGCATGCCTGGTCTTGTTATCCTCTACGCCAGCATCGTCAAAAAGAAATGGGCTGTGAACTCTGCCTTTATGGCCCTCTATGCCTTCGCGGCCGTTCTCATTTGCTGGGTTCTTGTAGGCTACCGCATGGCTTTTGGTGACCAACTACTCCCTTTTTGGGGCAAGGGTGCGCCAGCTCTCGGCCAAAACTACTTACTTAAGCGAGCCAGAGTCCCGGAAAGCTACCATACATATCAGGGCCAAATTGAGGTGACCGAGCCTTTCTATCCCATGGCCTCTCTCGTGTATTTCCAATTCACTTTTGCCGCTATCACGCTTATTTTGTTAGCTGGATCGGTTCTTGGCCGCATGAATATCAAGGCCTGGATGGCTTTTGTGCCTCTATGGCTTATCTTCTCCTACACCGTCGGTGCTTTTAGTCTTTGGGGTGGCGGCTTTCTCTACCACTGGGGTGTCATAGATTACTCCGGCGGCTACGTTATTCACCTCTCCTCAGGAATTTCTGGTTTAACTGCGGCCTATTGGGTAAGTAGAATTAAAAAAAAAAAAAAAAAATCAACTTGGAATTTGCCTCGTTTGAATACATAAAATCTTGAGCTGAGAAAATTTTGTTTGTTAAATTTGTGTTGTAATGTATGAAAACAGGTAGGGCCAAGGCTAAAGAGTGACAGGGAAAGGTTTCCTCCGAACAATGTTCTACTGATGCTTGCGGGTGCTGGGCTGCTATGGATGGGCTGGTCAGGTTTCAACGGTGGGGCTCCATATGCCGCCAACCTTGACGCGTCAATAGCAGTGTTAAACACAAATGTATGCGCCGCCACGAGCCTTCTTGTATGGACGACTCTTGACGTTGTCTACTTTGGGAAGCCTTCCGTGATCGGAGCGGTTCAGGGCATGATGACCGGACTCGTTTGCATTACTCCAGGAGCAGGTATTCTGAACATTAAAGATCAATAATTTTTCGATAAAATTTAATCATTTGTATGAACTATTGATGTAATTACTTGAGTTTGGAATAGGGTTGGTGCAATCGTGGGCGGCTATAGTGATGGGAATTCTATCAGGAAGCATTCCTTGGGTGTCCATGATGATCCTTCACAAGAAGTCTACTCTTCTACAAAAGGTCAAAAAACACCATCGATTATTTTATTTTTGATTATTCATTAAGGCTTGACTAATTGTAATTAAGGCGGCTCCTTTCATTTCCCACCTCATCTTTCCCACTTCCCAATCACAGAAAAAGAAGAAAAAATTTGACATAACAAAGCTGTTTGTGCACATTAAATGGTTTTAATAATCCGCACGTTTGCCAAAATCTACCAACCTCATAAATGGGATTAGATAATGGCACTTGGTTTTTTTTATTTTATTGAATAGGTAATAAGAACTAATATAACGCTTGAAAAGTCAAAAGAAATCGACAAAAATGTCCAGGTTCTGCAGCAGATCACGGTTGTTGGCACTTCACTATCAAAATTTCAAAGCTGAGACAGTGAAATCTTGATTCTTTTTTCAGGTGGACGATACTCTAGGTGTGTTTCATACACACGCGGTGGCTGGGCTTTTGGGTGCGATTTTAACGGGCCTATTGGCCGAGCCAGAGCTCTGCAAGCTCATTCTACCAGAGCCCACAAGAGGTGCATTTTACGGAGGAAATGGTGGCGTGCAACTCCTGAAGCAAATGGCTGGTGCTGCTTTTGTTATTGGTTGGAATTTAGTTTCAACCACCATCATTCTTCTAGCTATAAGAGTGTTCATACCATTGAGAATGCCGGAGGATCAGCTTGCGATCGGAGATGACGCCGTCCACGGAGAAGAAGCTTATGCTCTATGGGGAGATGGAGAGAGATATGACCCGAGAAGGCATGGCTTGGCTTCATCTTCTTCATATGCAGAGGACATAGCACCATCACCTTACATTAATGGTGCAAGAGGAGTTACTATTAATTTGTAAGTGAAATGGGATTAATGGGGCATGAATTTGTAAACTTTTGCTACTGTAAATATAGGGAGAATGACATTTTCCCACCCAAGATTTGGCAAAACGACACTTTTTCACCCGTCAAGTTTCAAAATGACACTTTTCCATCATTCCTCGAGTTCTTTTACTGTTTTTAGTTAATATTTGTTTGAAAAGACGAAAATACTTTTAATTAGTTTATTATAAATTAAAATTTTGTTAAGTCAAAGTCTTATTTTTTATTAGTTCAAGTGTAAAGATACATTTTTTCCTTTATCTATTTAATTAATTAAGAATATTAATTTTCTAGGTTAATTAGTAAGAATAAAAAACATTATAAAGTTAGTAGATTATTGAATAATAGTGATGAGATATTGATGACATTACAAATAAATAAATATTAAAGTCATTTAACTTTAAACAATTTCATAGCATTACTCATAACTTTTTTGGTAAGGTTAACTATTTTTTTTTTTTTTCGACTTTTTAATATTTGAATTTTTTGCTAGTTAAAAAATAATAAAAATTTATAAAGTCAAATATTTAAGAGTATTTTTGTCTTTTCAGTAAAATATTAACGAAAAACATAACCGAACCTAACAAATAATGAAAAAATATCGTTTCGCCAAGCCTTGGGTGAAAACATGTCGTTCTCCCGTAAATATAATTTTGCAATAGTTTAATGGGTTCTGTTTTTAGAATGAGTGATGCTATGGGTACTAACGGATGGGTACTAATATGTGTACTAACTAAAGCATAGTACCCGTACTATGCACATAGTACGAGTACTATGCTTTAGTTAGTACACAGATTAGTACTCATCCATTAGTACCCAAAGTATTATTCTTTTAGAATATCAAATGCAAAAACAGCTTGTACAATCGTACAAGCGGAGAAATCAATGGTACACCAAATTATTTATGGATACTAATAATATTATAACATGTATTTTTATTAAATATGGCCTATAGTAGAGACGACTAGAGTCAAATATAGCATTTATAATGTATTTATTAAGTATGACCTATAGTAGAGACGACTTAGTCAAATATGGCACTACAAGGAAATATGAGAGGAACATAAAACAAAATTTTTAATCTCAATTCCTATAAACCCAAGATAAGGGTTACGATTAGATGTATTTAATTAATAAATTCATACAATGTTTAATAAATTTACTACTGTTAGAGGCTTTTTTCACTTTAATTTGTTCTTTCACAAATCAATTAAACGTAATGATTACAAAAGACGCTAAAGGATCAACAGGAAAAGTCATTAGGTTTTTCTTTTTGCGCTAGGGTTTAATATAAAATTTAAACCTTTTTCTTCAATGAATAGTAAAGGACCAGAAAAAAAAAACCCAGAAATTTGATTAAAATACAGTTTAAAGTTTAAAATAAAATAAAAAATTATGAAATTTAAAACTTTTTACTAAATGACCATCTCTTAACCAATGTAAGATTATTTTTAAGCTTATCTCTTAAGCAATATGTTTAAATCATTTAAACGACATTAGAAACTTCATACTTATTTAATTCATTCCAAACTTAAAATAGTGTTTAAGTGTGTAATTTAGACTCACTTAATTACTTTCTAAAATTACCAAATAGACCCTTTATGGTTGAAACTTTCAACAAAATGTGCTTGTGACTTTGACTTTTCTAAGGTGTGCATAAGCAGACCCAGACACTCTAATCACCCCAAAAAAAGAATAAATAACCTCTTTGTATTATTTGACCTACACTTAAAAGAGGTTGAGTCCGATTAGGGACATGTAAAACATTACTAATAAGCTTTTAACAGGATTGGCTTGATGGGTCAAAAAAATTTACTCTTTTTATTGATTTTTTGGGTTCGAACCACTTCAAGTCAATTACTACATTACTTAACCAAAAAAGACTTTTGACTTTTCTCACCACAAAATTTGGTGAGAAAGTAATGGGATTCGCTTGATATTACGTATTGTTGATCAAATCTTCAAACATACTTGGAACACTATATGCATTTTGCAGTAATTAACCCATTAGTCAATATTCACGGAAGTAACTTGGAACGCAAATTATTCAGGTTTAGAATTTAATTTTTCGGCCACCATGCTTTAAGGCCAAGGCCCAAGAATAAGGCAGCTAGCCTACTTGAAAAAAATATTTCTTCTTCGGCAGGGAGACTTCACAAGCAGACTTCTGTAATTTATACGTTTCGACTTGCATCTTGCTGCACGAAGAAGATTGGTTCAAGTTAATTTACTTTGAAAGTAAACTCCCATTTCTAATATTTAATCCCATTTCTAATTTTCAATTAGCCAAAGATTCTGCTGCCAATGGCATCCATTGTACCAAAAAGATAACGNTTTTTATTAAATATGGCCTATAGTAGAGACGACTTGAGTCAAATATAGCATTTATAATGTATTTATTAAGTATGACCCATAGTAGAGACGACTTAGTCAAATATGGCACTACAAGGAAATATGAGAGGAACATAAAACAAAATTTTTAATCTCAATTCCTATAAACCCAAGATAAGGGTGGGTTACGATTAGATGTATTTAATTAATAAATTCATACAAGGTTTAATAAATTTACTATCGTTAAAGGCTTTTTTTACTTTAATTTGTTCTTTCACAAATCAATTAAGCATAATGATTGTATGAACTCGTCCATACGGAGGGCACTAAGGATAAAGAAAAATCAATTGTTAGATTGATTTGAGAATTATAAAAATTAGGTTTTTCTTTTAGGATTAGGGTTCAATATAAAATTTAAACCTTTTTCTTCAATGAATAGTAATGGGCCAGAAAAAAACCTGGGAAATTTGATTAAAATACGATTTCAAATTTGAAATGAATTAAAAAATTACGAAATTTAAAACTTTTTACTAAATGACCATCTCTTAAGCGATGTAAGGTTATTTATAAGCTTCTCTCTTAAGCAATATGTTTATATCGTTTAAACAACATTAAAAACTTCATGTTTATTTAATTCATTCCAAAATTGAAATAGTGTTTTAGTAATCCACCCTACAGTAACCTAGATTAAGTGTGTAATTTAGACTCACTTTGAAACTTTCAACAAAATATGCTTGTGACTTTGACTTTTCTAAGGTATGCACAAATGGACCCAAACACCCTAATCACTAAAAAAAAAAAAAATAATAATAATAAATAAATAACCTCTTTGTACTATTTGACCTACACTTAAAAGAGGTTGAGTCCAATTAGGGACATATAAAACATTTACTAATAACCTTTTAAGGGATTGGTCTAACGGATCAAAAAAATTTATTCTTTTCATTGATTTTTTTAGTTCGAACTACTTTTAAGTCAATTCCTACATTACTTAACAAAAAAAGACTTTGACTTTTCTCACCACAAAATTTGGTGAGAAAGTAATGGGACTCGCTTGATATTACGTATTGTTGATCAAATCTTCAAACATACTTGGAACACTATATACATTTTGTAGAAATTAACCCATTAGTCAATATTCACGGAAGTCACTTGGAACGCAAATTATTCAGGTTTAGAATTTAATTTTTCGGCCACCATGCTTTAAGGCCAAGCCTCAAGAATAAGGCAGCTAGCCTACTTGAAAAAATATTTCTTCTTCAGCAGGAAGACTTCACAAGCAGACTTCTGTAATTTATACGTTTCGACTTGCATCTTGCTGCTAGAAGAAGATTGGTTAATAGATTCCTAGAGATCTGCAGTTAATTTACTTTGAAAGTAAACTCCCATATATGGTGGAGATTAAGGTTTGAACTCTTGAACGACTTGCAAGCTATATAATATTTAATCCCATTTCTAATTTTCAATTTAGCCAAAGATTCTGCTGCCCATGGCATCCATTGTACCAAAAAGATACGGAATCTAGGAGCCTGCAAGTTGGGTCACATCTAGGACACACTATAAAGTTAAAACCTAAAAAATCAACATTAAGATTAAAAAGTATCACTTTCATTCCCAGCTGGGATGGAAATTTCTTGCAGAGTCTTAATTTCTAGTTTTCCGCAGTCAGGGCCAAGCATCACTCATGTGCTGCTAGTTTTCTTTCCTTGATTTAAGATCTGGAAATTTGCCAAGAATCTCATGGAATCTCCCCTAGTTGGAAAACTGCATTCAATATAATAACAAGCTACTCCATTGACTACAAAATGATACATATGCCATCCTAGACTTCAACAATTGTAATCATCCGACGGGAGCTTCCTGTGATAACGGGTCTATGCTAAATTCTTTATAGGAATCTTGTACCAAGCATTTTAAATTTTGAACTCTATAAAATAAGCTCCTTGTTATCTTACCTGTGAAGAGTTTGGAGCAAGACACCAAGCCTCAAAACCAATAATGGCAGCTGCTTCAGTTGTTCCGACGGCGTACCAGCAGGGCACCACTGCAGCCGTACCTGACTGGCTAAACAAGGGTGACAATGCATGGCAAATGGTATCTGCAGCTCTTGTTGGCATGCAAGGCATGCCGGGGCTGGTGATACTTTATGCAGGTCTTGTCAAGAGGAAATGGGTTGTCAACTCAGCCTTCATGGCACTCTATGCCTTTGCTGCTGTTATGCCTTGCTGGATCCTCTGGGCATACAAGATGTCATTTGGTAATCAACTTCTGCCATTCTGGGGCAAAGCTGGCCTTGCCGCTTCCCAGGACTTCCTGGTCCTCCAAGCTTTCCTCCCTGCAACAAAATACAAAAACATAACTCCAGCGATTCAACCACTCTACCCCATGGCTGTTGTGGTCTTCTTCCAATATGCCTTCGCAGCAGTAACTGTTGTGCTCCTTGCGGGGTCCGTTCTGGGTCGGATGAGCATAAAAGCTTGGGTAATGTTTGTACCATTGTGGATCACTTTCTCTTACAGTGTTGTGGCATTTAGCATATGGGGCGGAGGCTTCCTCTTCCAATGGGGAATCATGGATTATGCAGGTGGTTATGTTGTCCATTTAGCATCTGGAGCAGCAGGATTCACAGCAGCTTACTGGGTTAGGCCTCTTTTCTAAGCAAGTCAATGCATTTATATATTGCAAACTTTGATATCAATATAATCTGACCTGCTCTGTTTCTCCTGTAGGTAGGACCAAGATTAAAGGAAGACCAGGAAGAATTTCAGCCAAACAATCTCCCACTGGCTTTGGCTGGAGCTGGAATTCTTTGGATGGGCTGGACTGGTTTCAATGGAGGAGATCCTTTCGCTGCCAATGTAGATTCCTCGCTTGCAGTTCTTAACACTCACATCTGTGCCACCACCAGTCTCCTTGTGTGGATTTGCTGGGATGTTGTCTTCAAGAAACCCTCTGTATACGGAGCCATTCAGGGAATGATAACCGGGTTGGTTTGCATCACACCTGCAGCAGGTAAGATCCCTTGTACTGAAAAACTAAACCTCAAATCTTCAAGATAAACAACATCTTCCTTAACTCCCAACCATATATCCCCTACAGGTCTTGTTCAGGGATGGGCTGCACTGGTAATGGGCATAGCCTCAGGAAGCATTCCTTGGTACACCATGACGTGTTTGAGCAACAAGCTGCAAGTGCTGCAAAAGGTTGATGACACCCTTGGTGTATTACATACCCATGCTGTTGCTGGAATCTTGGGTGGAGCTCTTACAGGACTCTTTGCCCATCCAAGTCTCAGCAGCATGTTCCTGGCGGTGCCCAACTCAAAAGGTGCCTTCTATGGAAGCGGCGGTGGAATGCAATTTCTGAAGCAGTTGTTGGGAGCATGCTTTGTAATAGGTTGGAATGTAGTTGTTACATCCATCATTCTCCACGTAATCAAAGTAATAACACCCCTAAGAATGACTGAAGAAGAGCTCAAAATAGGGGACGCTGCAGTCCACGGAGAAGAAGCCTATGCTACAGCTGGACAAGGACAGAGGGAAAGACCTACATATAATAATGGGAACAATGGTGCTGTAGAGATGTCTGGTCCCTTAGTTTGATCTTAATGAGAAGACACATAAAAAGTATCCTCAACAATCAAAAAGACAGTCGCACATTTAAGAATTGAAGGCCACAATGGAATATTAGATCATGTAATATTAATATAAATTAAAATCAAAGTATACAGATTCTCATTGTCTTCAGTACTCTTTAAAGTTATAAGGTCTCTAATTCAAACAGAAACTTAACATTTAAATAGGGCACAGAAACCATTAAAAAAGGTACTCCAGCTGCTATATATTATATGTCCTGCCAAGTTTCATAGACTAAAACAACAAAGCAAATACTAAATTAATCAAACTGTTCCCAGTCCTGATTTATGGTAGTTGAGGATGGCTTTGGGGGAGGAGGATTCAAGCTTTCCACTCCAGAGTCAAAGGTCTCCCATTGGGTTGTCACCATGACAGCATTAGGATTGCTACTGTTGCTAAATGGGTTGGAATTTTTTGCCTTGAGACTGTCCAGTGTCTCATGGAACTTCTGGACGCGACACACCTGTTCAGGGGAGTTATAAGTTGCAGCACCAAAATTTAATGAAACATAACAAAAGTTGCAAAAGTTTGTACATAATTTTGTAAAGCTTGAACCTTGCCACACATTTTAAGTTATATAGGGTTACATACACAGATACTGGTTGCAGAAAACTCTTAATCTTTGGCATGATGTAAATGATGACCCTAACCTATAGAAGTTTAATATTTCATGAAGTGGAAGACAGATGTTACACTAATATTCAGCTCGTGTCAAAATACTCATTCAAATGCAAACAGAAAATCCGTCCATCCAGTTTAATACTTGTATGTCACAATTTAGACCATAAAGGGGAACATCATCTTATAGAAGCTAAATCACGTATAAAGAATACATAAAAGATTCCCGGCAAAACTGTATCCTAAATTGAACATAGTGATGATTTTCCTTCTATGCTCTTCCAGGTTTGGGTTGATCCACAGAAGGAAAAAAGGTGGAATCACAACTCAACTGAAGATGCATTTTCTTCTTAAATTTACCTTGCATGGGCAAGTTTGTGTGTTCTCTAGGCCATCTACTGTTATGCTACAACTATGAAATTAAAAATTTCCATTCTTTCCCAATTTACTTTTCACCATACCAGAGGATAAGATCATAACCCCAACTCCACCAGGTTTCAGTGATATAGCAATGAAACTAAAGGTTCCATCACTAGATAACAACTGAACTTACAATCATAAATTCCCAAAGGATCACACAGACAAATGCCATTGATGAGTGTCCTAACAAACTTATCATGAAGAGGAGACCGTTGGACTGGGTTGTGCAATTTTAATTAACCAATTCACCAGAACTATGTTTGCCACAGCCAAAGAACCCTCTACCCCATCAAATGTGGCTGATAGTCATCAGATAGTTCAGTTAGACAATCAAATTCCAAAGGCTCTCCTATACATACAGCATCCTTGAAATGTCAAAGGCACAGGTCAGAGCACTTAACTCTCATGTATTCATCATAACGTCAATGGACATCCTTATATGCGACAGATCAAACGTTACCATCTGCATTGCCAGGTTAATAATCTAAAACAACACCTGCAGCACTATATATCTCCCTGTCATAATCACATCCTCCACCACCAATCTCAAGCTTCGGAAGTTGGAAAAGATCCCATATCTAATAGAATTATATTTAATCCTTCTAAAAACTATCCTGGAATTTTCTTTTTCTTGTCAGATTCCTTAGTAAGAATTGCATTTCATACTAAGTATGCCAAATAAAACTAATACATACATTCTAGGAAGATACTGATATTTCAAAAAATTGATGGAGAATAGTCACTGGCTTTGATAGCCAACAAAAGAGATACAACTGAACAACCTAAATACAGAACACGATAACATACAGCCATAACAAACATCAATCCTTTAATTCTATCTAATGGTTATATCATAGAATATGTAAAATGGATGCCATAAATACTGACCTCAGCCTTCCGCTGCATTCTTGCTTCACCTTCAGCCTCAATGGAATCCAATTTCAGCAACTCCTTCATGAGTAACTCTGCAGACATATCAAATTCCTCAGCAGCCACCTTGGTCCCACTATTCACAGCTACTTCCAATGCAGTTACCTACAATAACAAAAGAACCCAAGTGAGGATTGAGTGAACTTAACTTGCTTAGATGACCTCTCCTACAAACACAGCTCAACTCGTGCATGCTAGAATTAACAATTATATATAAGAGTTGATAGGAGTTGGTAATATTTTGACTTATTAAAATATTAAAATTTTGCGTACTGCCCTCTAAGAAACTTCATATAATCATTCACAATATACACATAAAAAAATACCCTTTCTGATAGCTTATCAATCTCGGCTCTGATTCCAACAACTGATTGGAGAGCCTTTCTCATCTCTTCACTATCCTCAATCTTTTCAGGCTTCTTCTCTTCTTTGTTTGGCAATTCCTCCAAAAGCAAAATCTTTGACTTATCTTTCACACCACAAGTGTGCAAATGTTCACTGTCCTCTCTTTCTTTTCCCCTAAACAAAAGCTTTTGCTGTTGAGGCTCCAATCCTGTTTTCTCCACAATAGCTCTCTTCAGATGCCCTGTCATTGATATTAAAAACTATAAACTGATAATACGAAAGCTTCAAATAGGAGCATAAATCCTAATTCCACTCGAACTAATAATCCTAATCCTAATACTAATCAAATAAGACTAACACAAACACTTATCAGTCCAAATAGTGTTAATAAATTAAGACTCTTAATGAAACAAAATTGGTTAGTTCAATTCCCAACATTTATTAATTAGAGAATTATAAATTATTACCAAAAGTGGATTCAGCAGGGACATGAACATTGTACTGCGCGGGACCATGAGCGACATTGATCTCGATCATGGGGCAATGTGAAGCAGCTGCAACGTCTTGATGATGATGATGATCAGATTCATCGTCTCTTCTTTGGACGAGCATACCACCTGGCCTCATTCCCCACTCCAATTGTTCGTTCTGAGTGTTTGAATTCTTCATCGTCTAAAGCTCAAGATAAAACACAGTCGTTCCGATTTCAGTCAGATCCCGAAACAGTTTTCAAAATTAGAAAGGAGTAGTGCGTTGACTGATAATTTACTAATTGAAGAAGGAGGGTTTTGAGAGATCAAACTCAAAAGTGCTTCTAAATACGGAACGGTTGGTCGGTTATCAAGATGTGGAATCTGCTGGAAGAGTGGCACGGGCACAACCGCAGGCAGATCAATGTTCTTTGGATTATTAATACATGTGCATTTAGTGTCATTTAAACGGCGTCGTTTTTTTGGGTGCACCATGATTCCATTTTACAACATCAAGTAGAACGACACTTGTCATTAACCCTTGTTATAATTCGATATATCATTTATTTTTATTTAATGAGTTAATTTTACATCTTTATTTTTCCGATCATTACTTGTATACCAAATTTTATATACTAGACATAGTATAATTGTTACATATATCTTCTATATTTAATTAATTCCATATTTCATAAATTAAGAAAAAAAAATCCTTTAAATCATCAGTATGACCCTTTTCCGAACACTAAAATTTTATTTTAACTTATTGTTAGTAATAGTCGAAGCAAATTATTCCAAATTGTTATGTCGGAAAAAAAAATAGAGTTGACGTAGAGCCTCGTCAGTAAAGGATGATCAGAGTTTAGAAGGGTTCTGTGCCGTCTAGGTACATTCACATCGCGCCTAATGCAAGTGGCATGGCTCTTGTAAATGCAGTACATGAGTGTCAGGCCAACAAACAGCTGGAGATCGCTCATGTGTCAAAACCCTGCTTTAATCGAGAAAATCTCTCGGACAGGTGATCAATGAGACGCAAAGAAAGAATTTACACGACACCTACTCATTTGCAGCTTTCATAATCATTACCTTGAACTTTCTCATTATAAATAAAGTATTTTCCTTTACGTTGAAATAGCTCTTTCTCTCTCTCTAAACTATAACTCAGTTCGCTAAACGCGACCTAATCACTCTCTCTTTCTCTTATTAATACAATAGCAGTAGACGTAAGATTCGCTTTAGAGTATCCGAACCACTTTAAATATTACTCTTCACCTTTTATTTGATTCATTCTCCTCATATCACGTGTGATTTTTAAATCATTTTAGTATTTTCCATGTGCGAATAACTGATGTCAAAATCAAACATCAAACAAATTAACAAATTGTTCATTTGTGGTTATTTGGACTTTTAATCTAATAAGTAACTTAAATTAATAATATTGCAATCCCTAAATATAATCTTCAATGAATCAATGGGAAATATTGCCTGCCCACGGATATATAAGAACAAGAATTTAAAGGACGATCAGTAAAGGAGTTACATATCAGGTCACGTATTCAAAAGAGTACACTTTCAATACACTACACCAAAATTTTCAGAAATTGGCCGTCAAGACTGCTTCTCCCAACACATGCCCTTCAATTGCTTCCAGCAGCTTCTCCTTCGTCACCTGCAACACAGATCCATATTAGTTTCATTTAGTTATGATTAAGTGAACGTAATCAAATACCAATGGAAGTTACATGCACGTTGATCATATACATATACCACGTACTTTGTTACCAAGGTTCATCTTATCATCCAAAGCATAGAGCCTGAACTCGAACCGGTGGCCATGGTTTGGCAACTTGGGTCCACGCCACCCGGGAACCTTCCAGTCATTGTTACCCTCTTTGATCCCAGCATATTCACCACCCATCTCCTCTTCTTTCCCGGAGAACCCTTCAGGGAGACGGTTCAAAGTTGGCGGTATGTTCACCACAACCCAATGGGTCCACGGCACAATCGGCCCACTCGGGTCCGGTGCATCTACGTCCTCCACCACCAGAGCCAGGCTCTTGGTTCCTTGTGGCACGTTGTACCATTCTAGCGGCGGTGATATGTTCTTCTTTGCACCTTGTCCCTCTCCTGTGAACTTTCTCGGCAACCTTCCTTCATTATCTATTTGTGGAGACACCAATCTGAACTCATCACTAGCCATTTCTCACAAGTTTCACTTTAGTTACGTTGAACGGTTCTTGAGATTGTTTCTTTATAACGAGGGAGATGGAGTGACACGTGCTGCGAGAAGTTTCGTGTTGTCGAAAGAAGGTGCTAAGAGCTGGGGCTGGAGACGCGTGTGGTAATACGTGGAGAACTGTGGAGCGTTCTAGACAGAACAAAGGTGATCAATTGGATCGAATTGGATTCAGCCTATAATAATGAACTGGGTCATAATTGGGCTGTGTGATCTTTGCATTGTTGGGTCCAATAATGAGAAAGTGTTGGTCGCCTGGGACGGTGGAGAATCTAGTTTGCGTCTTTTACTGGTGAAAGGTAGGGACAACGACCGACGACAACAAATGGAGGCTTAATTACGAGTAGTCCTAGTTTGGTGCAGTTCCTGTGTCTGGAAACCTTGAAAGGTCAATCAAAAGAGAAGCGAAATTAGTATTGCTGATTTAATTTTCAGAAAAAGGGCTATGTGACATTGCGACTTGCCATGGATTCATTTGCATGGAACACGTAAAGTCCAAATAAAGTCTATTTTAAGTACTTGGGACAGTCACTTAACGCTGCAACAGTGTCTCATATTTTCCAGCTTCAAAAACTATACGTATTTAGGTAGCCATAACCGCAGAGAAGAGAAGGTTTAATTTGGTCCCGATTGAACTGAACTTTACCCAGTCAACACTGAAGCTACTAGCTCTCCCCAAGTCTTCCTCCCTTTACCTTTAGTCATTTTCATAAATAAATTTGTTTTCACTTCAGGGTCATATTTCTTGCTGGAAATAGATAAATTTGATTTTACTTGAGTAAATATGTACTATGGATTGGTACAAAGAAAGAAACATGTCACTGGAATTTCAGAAAGAGTTTGACCTTGTGGCTATATATGTATGAAATGATATGATTTATATGAAGAGTTCTACAGGTTTTTCGTATATATATATGGTATGCTGCAAAAAAAGTTGCCATGTTTTCACTGTAAAGGAGTTGAAATTATGTAATTCGTCTGATCTTACATCTAATTGCACAGTTATTAGCTAGACTGTCCCAGCACGACTGCAGACGTTGTCGTTTTATCTTCTTTTGATATAGGTTTTTTTAACTAGTCAAGTCAATAGCTTTAATAAAGTAATAAAACCCATCAAGTTAATGAGATTATTATAGTTAGTGTTGTACGTACCACCATGATAGAGTTCAGAAGAGATTGACTGATGTGTGATGAAAGGTAAGAAGGTTAGATTTCAGTAGGCAGTAGCACAAGTAAAGCAGGTAAATTTTGAGCCCAACAAGTAAGAATAATTAGGGTTCTACCAAACCAACGCAAAAACCGGAGCCATACATGTGGTATTGCTAGTCGAAATGGTCAATTAGTTAACCATGGTTGATCAGCAGACAACATCTTCATGTGCGGAGAGAGAATGGAGTTAAATCTGAATGTGAATGGAGCCTTGGGGAATATAGAGATTCTCAGATTCATACTCATAAATGAGGCTTTTTCATCTTTCTAGCCCTACTTGGTAAGAGAGAAATTTTTTTTGACCTATATACTAACCTTTTATTGAGATTGCTAGTGCCAAGTCCTTTTTTTAAATGAAAATTTAACTTTGGACCCCCCACGAAAGGGTACGATGTTTAAAATATGTTTATCAAAGAGGAACATCTTTGAATCTTTCTCTTCTCAAAAAACAACATATATTCCACATATGGGACCTGCCTTTGATCAAGTTTCACCAAAGGTAAGAAATGCGATCATATTCATATTGAAATTGAAATTTTCTATGCCTTGGAGTTGAATGATATATCGTTTCGTTCACCAAAAACAAACTACCACTTTGGGCCTATGGAAAATCAAGGTGGGTTCCAGGGTTGCATTGAGTGGAACCAACTTGAATTTTAACACTGTTTTCAAACGAATTTACTCCAAAAATCTCTTGAAAAGAAGAGCTGATTGATAAGATAAGGCAGGCCCTGATGAGCTCTTTTGTTTTTTCTTCTTTATAAATAGTTTTGTGAAAGATCGTGAATAGTTATTCTCACTCAGTAAACAGTGAACAACCTTAGGAGAAAAAAGGCGTCGTTCGTACATTAATTTAGAAGCCCGGCAACGGTTTGGTTATTGGATTTAACACACTTCCCACTGTGTTACATCCACTTTGATTTCAGGGGAAGGACCCCCACCTCCCTCCTTTCTCTTCAAAACTGACCAAACGACAAAGACAAATCTCTCTCTCTCTCTCTCTCTCTCTCTCTCTCTCTCTCTCTCTCTATGTTGCTCTATGTATTGTTGCCGACTCGTTTAAGGTATTGGTGAATTGTGTTGTGGGGTAGCATTAGTGTGAGAAGAGTATTAAATAAAACACAGTAACAAGCAAAGCTAATTCCTTTGGCGTAGGTTATAGTCTACTTGCTGCCCTACAACACTAGGATAGACATCCGAATCCTGTGCCAGAGATTGGCTGACTTGTGACGACATCTCGACACTCCCTTTCAAACTATCGACATTGCCACATGTTGCTCTCTCTATATATATGTCTCTTCAGCTCTCAAGTCCTCAAGTCCACGAATAATGGACTGTTTTTCAAATGATAACATCAACTCAACTGGGTCGTCGTCTTCGGGTAGCAGCAGCAGCAAGGGCAAGAAGAGGGGTGGGAACAGAAGCAAAGGAGTGATGAAGCTGTCGACTGATCCTCAAAGCGTGGCTGCTAGAGAAAGGAGGCACCGAATCAGTGATCGTTTCAAGATCTTGCAGAGCTTGGTTCCAGGCGGAACTAAGATGGACACAGTGTCCATGCTAGATGAAGCCATTCACTATGTGAAGTTCCTCAAGGCTCAGATATGGCTTCACCAAAACCTTATGAATTTTGTCGATGAAGACCCTTGTACTTTCCTTCAAACTCCCCTCCATTTCCAAGAGGGTTTCAGTACTACTTTCAACTCAAACATTACCAACTACTCGCCTCCAGTAGTGCAACCATCAGTTGTGGTTCCGTCACCACCTCAAGCTAATTTCCAGGATTTTAATTACTTCCAAGGTGAAGAGACACTGTATTTAGATGACCAAACGAAATACTAGTTTAGTAGTTAGCTTCGAACTCTCTCTTTCTCTCTCTCGTTATGCGAGTGTACGGATTCTGTGTGGAATTGTGGTGATGTTAGGAGCCAGCTACGTGCTTAAAATAATGGGAAATGATATGAGTAGTAGGCTTTGTTCTGTGTTTAGGTATAAATATTCTGTAGTACGTTATGTATGAGTATGAAAACTCTTAACAAATCGTCTTCTTGTAGCTCTAGATATGGAAAAGAATCTCCTGCCCCGAGTAGGTTATATTATATTAGGATGCTGCTATATACCTTTTACTCTATTGGAAATTTATGTGAAAACACTCCAAATTAATCACTTCCTCATGAAATTTTTATTTGTTTGGCCGGAACCGGAAAGTTGCTCATAGACTCTTTTGTCAATGAATGAATGAATAGTTCAAGCCCTCTCCTTAATTTATAGTTCTTTTATGCATGCAGTTTCTTCAATATAAATCCTCTTTTCATCTTGGGAATGTAGGTAGAATATGGCGTACTTGAAGATCTTGTTCACCTGCTCCTAGTTTTCATTACTGTTCACGTACGATAACCCTCGCCGGACTAATATTAATTAATATAAATTGCTTTTCTTTTCTTTTGAAACAAGAAAGAACTTTTATCAATTTCAAGATTCAGAATCTGTAAAACCTACCGACTCTGTCATTTTAAATCTCACTTTCTGAGCAGAAACCGAGAAAGAGAGAAAGGCCCCCAGCAAAATGAAAAGGGTGGAAACATCAGATTGATTTTCTGGTGAAGGTGAACTTATAAAACTTTTAAATATACCTGAAAAAATAAATTGACTGTAAAGGGAACATATAGTTTTGCATTAACGTGTTAGAAATGAGATGGAGATGAACAAGTCAAACCTTTGAAATAGCAAAAAAAAAAAAAAGTTGGTGAAATTAAATTAATTAATTGTCTTTTCAGTCCTCGAAAACTTTATTATTCCAAATTGAACCCATTGATATCTAATAGGACCAGCCTTTATAGTTTGCTGAGCCCACAACAATACACTATTGAGCCCATTTAAAATTTGTACGAAGTAAAAATCTTGACCTATTAATTTCCAACACATGCAACAATTCTCCCGTTATTACTATTTCTTTTACTTTCGAATTTCAATTCAACTAGAGATCTTTAGCACCATATAAAAAGAAAAAAAATTTACACTAATAATATTCATAAATTTTTTGTTCAAAATACATGCAAATTTTAAAAATTAAAATTTGCCAAAAGGAAGGAAAATATCATTGTACCCTCATACATTTAATACAGCTTGGAAGAATTAAGTTCTTTCAGAATCATAGACCCTTGATTTGAAGTTTCATAAATAAGGATGGCAACGGAACGGGGCGGGGCGAGGTGGGGCGAGGCGGGGCGGGGCCAGGGACGGGGAAAGGGGATTCCTTGTCCTTGCCCAGTCCCCACTATAGGGATGATTGGGAATCCCATCCTCGCCCCATGGAAAAGGGTTGATCCTTCCTTATCCTCGTCCCGCCCTATTCTACCGAAAAACATAATTGTTTAGGAAATTAAAATTCACACCAACTGAATCAACCCAAGCTTCCAATTTTCTATTCACACCACCAAGTCATAAAAATTGTATGAATCTTACCTATAATAGAACTGAGAAATGGAGAAGCTGTAATTGAATTCTATAACTAAAGGCTAAAGACAAGGAGAAGGTGATTGAGTGAAGACACAGGAGAATCAAGAAATGGAGAAGCTGAAGAGTGAAGACGACAGAGACGAAGAGGCGACATCGTAGCGAAGATAACTTGAAGAGTGAAGACAATGGAGATGAAGCCATGGAGGAGGTTTAGAGAATTAGGGTTGGTTTGGAAAAAAAAATATGGGTTATATGTTGCAAAAGGTAGATATGCAATTATCTTAATGTTTAAGGGTATTATTGTAAAATATGGTTGAGGTGGGTCGGGCAGCTATCCTTGACCTATCCTTGTCCTCGCTTATTGCGGGGAATCCTAGCCCGGTATGGGGCAAGTTGCCATCCCTATCCATAAACAATAATCAAGCAAGGTATGGATAAGGCATTATCAAAGATATACAATTAATGATCTTTTATAATATTGTACACAATATGATATAAAAATTGTAATATTTATGGACTATAAGTTTATTTGTCTAAAGTAATGTATAGTACAATGATATTATCTTATATAGGTTTTATGGTATATATATTTTAATGATAATTTGACATGCTCTTTTAATATTTGATTAAAACTTGAAATGGTTTCAAATTTATTTACTTTTTTTTTTTTTTCCAATATTTGAAACTCACAGAAGTCATATATATATTTGTTAATTGAAATGTCCGAGCTAATATATATATTCGTTAATTGAGGTGTTTGGGCTAACTCACGACATGCGTACCTTAACCAATCTTCAAAGGAAATTATTGTATAGTAAACTGCCATCGTGAGACTTCGAGTAACTGTTTACCTTTATTATTGGGTTACCCATAAGTGGATACTAAAGTCATATTTTAGCTATGGGTTTAATGAACTTTTCCCTTGAGTTTTCATAAAATACCAGAAATAACAATTTACTCGTTATCGTTGGTATTCCGTTAAATTTTTGTTATTTAATTTAACGAATTAACGGTAAGATACAGCGAGAAGGGGTCAATTGGTATCTATGATAGCTCATAGGGAAATTATTATTAAGGAAATCTCAAGGGTAAAATTGTAATAAACTCTTGTAGGCAGTTCTAGCTATATACATATTTGTTTTAGAAGCCTTGCCTGTTCGACGAAATTCCTCATTCAAAACTAGAGCCGCATAGCAATTATTCGTGCGAATTTAAGCACCAAAATTTGATACACTCAGTTGTATACAACATAACACAGTTTTGTTTTCAGGTTCTGTTGCCATCACCCCTGCTCCAGGGTTGATGCTTTTTGTATTGTATGTACAGAACAAAATACAAAAGGAGAAAGGAACAAAGAAAGCTTAACTTTTAACGGAATGTGCCTATGAAGAAGATGAGGATGAAGTGGAAGTAGAAGACGATATGGGCGGTGATTGATGGCAAGTACATGTAGGATCATGAACAACACTTTTCCTTGTAACGTCGAGTTTTGAGCAAAACACACAATACCGCCCGCGAAATTCTTTGGTTTGCGTTTCATCAAAATCAACGTCGTCTTCATCTGTGTTTTCGTCTTCGAAATATTCCTCTGCTTCGATTCTTCTTTGATGAGAAGTCTTGTACATCAACCCAAACATGGGGAGAATCACCATTAGAAGTTCGTCGATGATGTGATCGTCGTACCATTGGTTTACTTTGTCTGAAAACATCAAGGGTGCAACAACTACTGCTGAACCTATCCCAAATGCAATTCCAATAACTATGAACTGCCAATCAAATTCTTTACTTAAAGCTGGCGCTGAATGTTCTGACTTGCTGGAATTTGTTGTGCAATTATTTGTCAAAGGAGGGCCACATAATCTTTCATTACCCTCGAAAGATGTTGATGAAAATGATTGGAGCTGAGTACCTGATGGTATCTTTCCCACAAAGTGATTATTTGAGAGATTCACGAATGAGAGGAAATTTAGGCTTGCAAGTTGTAAAGGGATTTCCCCACTCAGGTCATTTACTGAGAGGTCCAAGGACTCCAATTGTCGCAAGTTTCCAATAGCTGATGGTATGGTTCCTGTGAGAGCATTATTTGACAAGTTGAGAACATAGAGTGATATGAATTGTCCCATCACTTCTGGTATTGGCCCTTCAAGTTTGTTGCTTGACAAGTCAATGGAGGTGAATATAGTTAGGATCTTCACTAGCTCCATCTCTTGACCTTTGCTGGTAACTGTTACTGAATCCTGGTAGTATNATATATATATTCGTTAATTGAGGTGTTTGGGCTAACTCACGACATGCGTACCTTAACCAATCTTCAAAGGAAATTATTGTATAGTAAACTGCCATCGTGAGACTTCGAGTAACTGTTTACCTTTATTATTGGGTTACCCATGAGTGGATACTAAAGTCATATTTTAGCTATGGGTTTAATGAACTTTTCCCTTGAGTTTTCATAAAATACCAGAAATAACAATTTACTCGTTATCGTTGGTATTCCGTTAAATTTTTGTTATTTAATTTAACGAATTAACGGTAAGATACAGCGAGAAGGGGTCAATTGGTATCTATGATAGCTCATAGGGAAATTATTATTAAGGAAATCTCAAGGGTAAAATTGTAATAAACTCTTGTAGGCAGTTCTAGCTATATACATATTTGTTTTAGAAGCCTTGCCTGTTCGACGAAATTCCTCATTCAAAACTAGAGCCGCATAGCAATTATTCGTGCGAATTTAAGCACCAAAATTTGATACACTCAGTTGTATACAACATAACACAGTTTTGTTTTCAGGTTCTGTTGCCATCACCCCTGCTCCAGGGTTGATGCTTTTTGTATTGTATGTACAGAACAAAATACAAAAGGAGAAAGGAACAAAGAAAGCTTAACTTTTAACGGAATGTGCCTATGAAGAAGATGAGGATGAAGTGGAAGTAGAAGACGATATGGGCGGTGATTGATGGCAAGTACATGTAGGATCATGAACAACACTTTTCCTTGTAACGTCGAGTTTTGAGCAAAACACACAATACCGCCCGCGAAATTCTTTGGTTTGCGTTTCATCAAAATCAACGTCGTCTTCATCTGTGTTTTCGTCTTCGAAATATTCCTCTGCTTCGATTCTTCTTTGATGAGAAGTCTTGTACATCAACCCAAACATGGGGAGAATCACCATTAGAAGTTCGTCGATGATGTGATCGTCGTACCATTGGTTTACTTTGTCTGAAAACATCAAGGGTGCAACAACTACTGCTGAACCTATCCCAAATGCAATTCCAATAACTATGAACTGCCAATCAAATTCTTTACTTAAAGCTGGCGCTGAATGTTCTGACTTGCTGGAATTTGTTGTGCAATTATTTGTCAAAGGAGGGCCACATAATCTTTCATTACCCTCGAAAGATGTTGATGAAAATGATTGGAGCTGAGTACCTGATGGTATCTTTCCCACAAAGTGATTATTTGAGAGATTCACGAATGAGAGGAAATTTAGGCTTGCAAGTTGTAAAGGGATTTCCCCACTCAGGTCATTTACTGAGAGGTCCAAGGACTCCAATTGTCGCAAGTTTCCAATAGCTGATGGTATGGTTCCTGTGAGAGCATTATTTGACAAGTTGAGAACATAGAGTGATATGAATTGTCCCATCACTTCTGGTATTGGCCCTTCAAGTTTGTTGCTTGACAAGTCAATGGAGGTGAATATAGTTAGGATCTTCACTAGCTCCATCTCTTGACCTTTGCTGGTAACTGTTACTGAATCCTGGTAGTATAATTGGGTAAGTCCCAGGAACTCAAATCGAAGGTGCTTGAGATTTGATTGGGCTTCATCTTCATCAGCCATCATTGCCTTCCAGGTTGTTAAGCATAGAGCTGGTAGTTTTCCACTAAAGTTGTTGGAAGCTAAGTCGACAATCTGAAGCATTGACCAGTTGCCTTGTATCTCTGGACAACCAATCTTTCCATAAAATTTGTTGGATCGCAAGACTAGGACACGAAAACTAGAGATTTCCTTTAACCAGCATGGAAAATTGTCAGTGATCTGGTTGTTTCCAAGGTCTAACACCTCCAGCGTTGTGCAATTAGCCAGAGATTTAGGAACCCTTCCTTCTAGTTGATTTCCATTGAGATTTAGCGTTTGCAATGCACAATTTCCTGGAAATGCATCAGGAATAGTTCCAGTGAGATTGTTTCTCCTTAAATTTAGAACACCGAGAGCCTCGATCTTTTGGATTAAACAAGTTGGTATCGTGCCATTCAAATTGTTCTCTGACAAGTCAAGAACTTGAAGATATGTGGAATTGCATATTGTTTCAGGGATAACTCCTGTGAGGCTATTGTTTGAAAGGGAAAAGAATATGGCGACTGGGAGAAAAGTACCAATGTCAGCTGGGATGGAAGTAAAAAAATTACATGAGTAATCCACATAGATTGCAGACTGTGGTGGCTTTGGGATCTCTCCTTGGAGCTTGTTGAAGTGTAGGTCAAGGACACTGAGATTGGAAAGATTATATGGTTCTTGCAGACCCACCAGAAGATTATGTGAAAGGTTTAGATGGATGAGATTGCCATTACCAACTCTCCATATCCAGTTAGGTATTTCTCCCGAAATTTGGTTGTCTGAAAGATCTAATTGATATAGGTTTGTTTGGTTCCTGAGGTCAGGTATCATGCTCAGGTTGCAAGAAGCCAACTTCAATGTGCTAATCTTGGGGGGGAAAGAGCTACCACTACTAGCATTCACTACTAAGCTGTTGTATGAAAAGTCCAGCCTTGTAAGATTGCTAAGCTTTTGAACCTTATCTAGCTGTACAGTGCCATTGAACTTGTTGGAAGAAAGTAGGAGAATACTTAGGTGTTTGAGTTCAAAGATAGACATAGGAATATGCCCTTCTAATCTGTTGCCAGTTAGATCAAGGGTTTCCAACACAGAGGTGGATGGATTTAAAAATTCAGGAAGTTGGCCCTCGAATTGGTTGTTAGCAAGCTGAAGCTGCTTCAGCAATGGCCTTGAAAACAGAGATGAGGGGATTTTTCCTTCAAGTGAATTGTTCCATAAGTCAACATAAACAAGATACAAAAGCTGTTTCCAGTCAGTGAATGAGATTGCACCAGTCAAATGGTTTTGAGAGAGATCTAGATAGGAGAGATTTTTGGACATATGAAGAGGTGGGACTGGACCAGTGAAGTTGTTCAATGACAAGTCCAAATAAACTAATTGGGTGAGATTAGATAATGAAGTGGGAATTGGTCCGGTGAAATTGCAGCTTGTGAGCTCTATTCTTGACAAACTTTTAAGCTCTCCAATGGAATCTAGCAGTGGCCCCGACAAACTTGTTTCTTGAAGCATCAAGGATCGAAGAGAATTATTTCGAGGAAAGTCTGGCAAAGATCCCTGAAGTAAATTGTTATGCGATAAATCAAGAGTCCCTAGTGTTGGTACCTGCAATATCTTTGCTGGAAATGTTCCTTGTAGCCCACAATTACTGAGATGCAAGGAGGTTAAATTGGAGAAATTCGCCAAAATGTCTGGAACTGGGGACGATAGATTGTTCTGATTCAGACGAATTACTGAGAGTGACTGAAGGTTCCCAAGGGATAAATCTATAGGGCCTGAAAGAAAACAGCTGGACATGCTCAAAACTTGCAGATTGGGCAGTGAAGAAGATAAAGCTTGGCACCATTCATTTCCCTGGGCTGATATATTTACACCATCAAGATACAGTTCTCTAATCTCTGTGAAGTTCTGTAGAAACGTGCTTAAGTTCGGATTCTCAAGTTTCAAGAGAGAAACTCCCACGAAGGTAAGACTTGACAAATCAAGTGTAACCAACTTTGTCATGCCTGAAATCGAACCGGGAATCTGTCCTGCGAAGCCAGCATTAGAAAGATTCAGATAAGTCAAGTTTGTGAGATTGGCCAACCTGGACGGAATTAGAATTGCATTGAATTTATTATAAGCCAAATTTAGGCTATTCAGATTCTGAAGAGCGAATAGACCAGTCGCATTCTCAATTCCACCGGAGATTGATTCATTGCTCAAGTTGAGACCAATAACATGCCCAGCGTCATCGCAGTCAACACCACTCCAATTACAACAATCTGAGTTTTGATCCCACTGCGCCAGATTTACAGATGAATTAGAATTGAACACGACGCTGTTCTTGAGTTGGAGTAACAATGACTGCTGATCACTCTGACATTGTCCAGAAACCAAAACTACAGAGATGCGGAAGCAGTTGGCTAAAAAGAAGATCAAAAAAAGCCATGACGGTAGATTTCTCATTGGTAACTAAAACCAAAAACACCCATAAACTGAAACTTAAAGGACATACAATCTTGTTGTGACTTTAAGAAGTTGCATACCCACTAACATGAGTTTTTGGCTTATAGCTTCAAATTATGGCCGACCAAAACTGTGTCAAAGTTGGCAGGAGACGGCAACCAAAGTATGAACTGGAGGTTGAAGAAGAAGCAACAATGGAGAGAAATTCAACAGAATAGAATAGTCAACATATGAGAATATTCAAAGTAGACAACGTGTAGTATTTTTTTGTAGTATTAGTTGTCAACTAGTTTATCATCTTACAAAAGGGCTCCACGGTCGACTTTATTATTTAATCGATAATGTTGTAGACTTTTGTGTGCGGTAGCTTCAATTTGAAACGTCTTATTTAATAAGAAAAATCAAAAACCAACTACTCCCCAGTTTTTCAACATTGTCATAGATTTTGGCTCCCAGTACAGGGTTTTAGGTAAACATCCAATTATTAAAAATAGACCCTCAAACAGTTTAATAATATAATAAGATTTGCTAAGGGAAGTACTTGTAATATTATAGTTTTACTACATTTAGCAGTCGTTCAGTTTAACTCTTTTGATGTTTCAGTACATTTTGATACTTTATGCATTTATGATTGATGTTAATTAGAAATATACGTGTTTGTTTTATGAGTCATACCTGTTCGACAAAATTCCTCAACGAGAACTACTGTTGAACATTGTAGTGCTTCATGGCCATTTAAATACTAAAAATGATACTCAGTTTTATACAATATAAAGCAATTGTATGTTTTCAGGTTCTGTTCTCATTACCCCTGCTTCAGGGTTGCTGCTCTTTGTATTTATGTACAGAACAAAATACAGAAGAAGAAAAGAACGAAAGAAAGCCTTACTTTTATCCACGTGCCAATGAAGAAGATGAGTATGAAGTTAAAGAAGAAGACATGAGTAGTGAGTGAAGACAAGTACATTTAGGATCGTGAACAACCCTTTCCCTTGTAACGTTGAGTTTAGAGCATAACACACAATACCGCCCGAGAAATTCTTCAGTTTCTGTTTCATCGTACTCATCATCGTCTTCATCTGTGTTTTCCTCTTCGAGATCTTTCTCTGCTTCAATCCTTCTTTGATGAGAAGTCTTGTAAATCAACCCAAACATCGGGAGAATCACCATTAGCAACTCGTCGATCATGTGATCGTCGTACCATTGGTTTACTTTGTCTGAAAACATTAGGGGTGCAACAACAACTGCTGAGGCTATCCCAAATCCAGTTCCAGTGACTATGAACTGCCAATCCAATTCTTTACTTAAAGCTGGTGCTGAATCTTCTGACTGGCTGGAATTTGTTGTGCAATTAATTGTCAAAGGAGGGCCACATAATCCTTCATTACCCAAGAAAGATGTTGACGAGAATGATTGGAGCTGAGTACCTGATGGTATCTTTCCCAAAAAGTGATTATTCGATAGATTCAGGAATGAGAGGAAATTTAGGCTTGCAAGTTGTAAAGGGATTTCCCCACTCAGTTGGTTCCATGACAAGTCAAAGGACTCCAGTTGTCGCAAGTTCCCTACAGATGATGGTATGGTTCCTGTGAGAGCATTCCGTGACATGTTGAGAATATAGAGTGATTTGAATTGTCCCATCTCTTTTGGTATTGGCCCTTCAAATTTGTTGCTTGACAAGTCAATGGAGGTGAATATAGTTAGGATCTTCACTAGCTCCAACTCTAGACCTTTGCTGGAAACTGTTACTGAATCCTGGTAGTATAATTGGCTAAGTCCCAGGAACTCAAATCGAAGGTGCTTGAGATTTGATTGGGCTTCATCTTCATCAGCCATCATTTCCTTCCAGGTTGTCAAGCATTTAGCTGGAAGTTTTCCACTAAAGTTGTTGGAAGCTAAGTCGACAATCTGTAGCATTGACCATTTACCATGTGTCTCTGGACAACTAATTTTTCCATAAAATTTGTTGGATCGCAAGACTAGAACACGAAAACTAGAGATTTCCTTTAACCAGCATGGAAAGTTGTCAGTGATCTGGTTGTTTCCAAGGTCTATAACCTCCAGCATTTTGCAATTAGCCAGAGTTTTTGGAACCCTTCCTCCAAGCTGATTTCCGTTGAGATTTAGAGTTTGTAATCCACAATTTACTGGAAATGCATCCCAAATAACGCCTGTGATTTTGTTTCTCCTTAAATTTAGGACCCCAAGAGAGGGGAACCTTTTAATTAAACAAGTTGGTATCGTGCCATTGAGATTGTTGTCCGACAAGTCAAGAACTCGAAGATATGTAGCATTGCATATTGATTCAGGGATAACTCCTGCGAGGCTATTGTTTGAAAGGGAAAAGAACACGGTGACTGGTAGAAAAGTGCCAATGTCAGCTGGGATGGAAGTAAAAAAATTACATGAGTAATCCACATAGATAGTAGACTGTGGTGGCTTTGGGATCTCTCCTTGGAGCTGGTTGAAGTGTAGGTCAAGGACACTCAGATTGGGAAGCTTATATGGTTCTTGCAGACCCACCAGGAGATTATGTGAAAGGTTTAGATAGATGAGATGGCCATTACCAACTCCCCATATCCAGTCAGGTATTTCTCCCGAAATTTGGTTGTCTGAAAGATCTAATTGATATAGGTTTGTTTGGTTCTTAAGGTCAGGTATCATGCTCAGGTTGCAAGAAGCCAACTTCAATGTGCTAATCTTGGGGAGGAATGAATAATCCCTACCACTTGCATTCACTACCAAGCGATTGTACGAAAGCTCCAGAGTAGAAAGATTGTGAAGCCTTTGAATTGTGTCAAAATGTATGGTGCCATTGAACTTGTTGGAAGAAAGTATAAGGACTTTAAGATTATGGAGTTCAAAGACCGACATGGGAATAGGCCCTTCCAATCTGTTGCCGCTTAAATCTAGGGTATCCAACAGAGAGGAGGATGCATCTGGAAAGTCAGGAACTTGGCCCTCAATTTGGTTGCTGGCAAGCTGAAGCTTCTGCAATGATAAGATATCAAACAGGGACGGGGGAATACTACCATCAAGGGAGTTTAAACTCAAGTCAACATGAGCAAGATTCTGAAGCTGTTCCCAACTGGATGGGATCGCACCTGTCAACCGATTACGAGAGAGGTCTAGGTAAGAGAGATTTTTGGACTTGTGGAAAGATGGCATTGGACCAGTGAACCTGTTAAATGACAGGTCCAAATAAACTATTTGGGTGAGATTAGCCATCGAAGTGGAAATTGCTCCAGTGAAATTGCAATTTGATAGCTCTATTCTAGACAAATTTTTAAGGTTGACAATGGAATCTGGTAGTAACCCCGAGAAATTTGTGAATGTGAGCATCAGGGTTCTAAGAGACTGATTCTGAGGGAAGTTTGGCAAAGAACCTTGAAGGAATTTGTTATTTGATAAGTCAAGATGCTCTAGTGTTGCTAACTGCAAGATATTTTGTGGAAAAGTTCCACGTAACCCACAATTACTGAGACGCAAGGAGGTCAAATTCACGAATTCAGCTAGAACTTTTGGAACTGGAGATGACAAATTATTCTGATCCAAACGGATTACTGAAAGTGACCGAAGTTTTGCAAAGGAAGAGGTGATAGGGCCGGAAAGAAAACAGCTGGACAAGCTCAAAACTTGTAGATTAGGCAGTGAAGACGATAGAGCTTTGCACCATTCACTTCCATGAGCTGATATATTTACACCATCAAGATACAGTTCCCTGAGCTGTGCGAAATTCTGAATAAGCAAGCTCAAATTCGAAATCTTGAGTTTCAAGAGAGAAGTGGTCGGGATCTCGAGTTTCAAGGGAAAAGTGCTCGAGTTCGGGATCTCGAGTTTCAAGGGAAAAGTGCTAAAGTTGGGGTTCTCGACTTTCAGGGGAGAAAGGTTCAAATTCTGGTTCTCAAGAGAAGATCCTAAGTAGTAAAGACTTGACAAATCAAGAGTAACTAACCTTGCCATGTTTGAAATCTCAATAGGAATCTGCCCCCCAAAGCCAGCATTAGAAAGATTCAGATAAGTCAAATTTCTGAGATTGGCCAACCTGGATGGAATTTGAGTTGCATCAAACTGATTATAAGCCAAATTTAGGCTCTTCAAATGCTGAAGACCGAATAGACCAGTTGCATTCTCAATTCCACCGGAGATTGATTCATTGCTTAAGTTGAGACTAATAACGCGTCCAGCCTCATCACAACCTACACCACTCCAATGACAACAATCTGTGTTTTGATTCCACCGCGCCAGATTTACAGATAAAGTAGTATTGAATACGAGGCTGCTTTTCATCTGGAGTAACTGCAATTGTTGATCACGCTGGCATTGGCCGGAAACTGAAACTACATCGGTGCCAAAGCAGTTTGCTAAAAAGATGATCAAGAAAAACCATGACAATAGATTTCTCATCGTTTACTATAACCAAAAACGCTCATACAAATAAAACTTGCGGAACAGAAAAAATCTTGTTGAGAATTTAACAAGTTGCTTGCATCCCCAATAGCATGATCTTTCAGCTTATAACTTTAACTTAGGGCCGACAAAAATCTATGTCAAGTTTGGCTGGAGGCAGAAACCAAACGTATAGAATGGGAGGTTGAAGAAGAAGCAGCAATGGAGAGAAATTCCAGAGAATGCGAAGGTCAGCAAGAGTGCTCAGCGTAAACGTCACTAAGGGCTCAATTTTGAAACCAAGAAAAATCAAACCAACAGGATTTTTGTGAAGATAAATATTTTTAGAATTATAAATAATTATCAAATACTACCAACTTATCTAATTGTAATTTTACATAACTTTTTTATTTTTATTTTTGGGTTTGTCAATATAATTTTGAAATTTATGTATTGAAGTTATGACTGATATTAATGGCAGGCACCCAACCGCGTAACTTGAGACATTTCAAAATTATGACTTAATATTCATTGCGAAAATTTGACTATAATAATAGGTAAGTTTGAAAACATTTGAGTAGTTCATATGTCGAGTTGAGCAAGTTTGAACCTAATAATATTGGATTTGAGTTTATTCGAGTTCGACGTATTATATAATATTTTAATTTTATTTTAATATTTGAAAGCCTTTACCTCGGAGAAATGGTTGGTTTATTCGGCCGTATTTTGGCTTAGCAAATATAGTATTATGTTTTATGAGCCTCACCTGTTCGAAAAAATTCCTCAGTGAGTCGCATTGCTATGCTTCATGGCAATTTAAGTACCAAAAATGATACTCAGTTTTATACAACATAACAAAATTATGTTTTCAGGTTTGTTCTCATCACCATTGTTGCTTTGTGTATTTTATGTACAGAACAAAATAGAAAAGAAGAAAAGAACTAAAGAAAGCTCAACTTTGATCAAAATGTGCCAATGAAGAAGATGAGGATGAAGTGGAAGTAGAAGAAGAAATGGGTGGTGGTGAGTCATGACAAGTACATTTAAGGTCGTGAACAACCCTTTTCCTTGTAAAGTCCAGTTTAGAGCAAAAGACACAATACCGCCCGCGAAATTCTTGGGTTTCCGTTTCATCGTAATCATCGTCGTCTTCATCTGATTTTTTGCCTTCGAGATCTTCCTCTGCTTCAATCCTTCTTTGATGAGAAGTCTTGTAAATCAATCCAAAGATGGGGAGAATCACCATTAGCAATTTGTCAATGATGTGATCGTCGTACCATTGGTTCACTTTGTCTGAAAACATTAGGGGTGCAACAACTACCGCCGAGCCTATCCCAAATCCAATACCAATGAATGTGAACAGCCAATCAAATTCCTTACTTGAAGCTGGTGCTGAAGGTGGTAACTGAATTGGATTTGTTGTGCAATTAATTGTCAAAGGAGGGCCACATAATCCTTCATTACCTTCGAAAGAAGATGCTGAAAATGTTTGGAGCTGAGTACCTGATGGGATCCTGCCCACAAAGTGATTGTTTGAGAGATTCAGGACCGAAAGGAAAGTAAGGCTTGCCAGCTGTGTAGGGATCACCCCATTCAGCTGGTTAGCTGATAGGTCCACGGACTCCAGTTGTAGTAAGTTCCCCAAGGATGATGGGATTGGGCCTGTGAAAGCATTATGTGACAAGTTGAGAAGACGGAGTGATTTCAATAGTTCTGTCTCTTCTGGTATTGGCCCTTCAAAATTGTTGTTTGACAAGTCAATGGAGGTGAATAAAGTTAAGATCTTCACTAGCTCCAGCTCCAGACCTTTGCTGGTAACTGTTACTGCATCTTGGTAGTACAATTGGCCGAATTTCAGGAACTGAAATTGAAGGTGCTTGAGCTGTGACTGTGCTTCATCTTCATCAGCCATCATTGCTTTGCAGGTTGTTAAGTACTTTCCTGGTAGTGTTCCACTAAAGTTGTTGATAGCTAAGTCGACGATCTGAAGCTTTGGCCAGGCACCATTAATCTCTTGACAACTGATGTTCCCATAAAACCTATTTGATCGCAGGACTAGAACGCGCAAGCTGGAAATATTCTTTAACCAGCATGGGAATGTATCATTTATTTGGTTGCTACCAAGGTCTAAAACCTCCAGCATTGTGCAATTACCCAGAGATTTTGGAACCATTCCTTGTAGATGATTTCCATTGAGATCTAGCGTTTGTAATGCACAAGTTTCTGGAAATGTATCAAAAATAATTCCAGTGAGGTTGTTTCTTCTCAAATTTAGAACACCAAGAGTCTCGCTGCTTTGAGTTAAACATTTTGGTATATTGCCATTGAAACTGTTGTTTGAGAGATCAAGAACTTGAAGAAGTGTGGCATTGCATATTGATTCAGGGATAGGTCCTGAAATCATATTGTCTGAAAGGGAAAAGAACACGGTGAAAGTAAGGGAATTACCAATTTCAGTGAGGATGGAAGAAAAGGAATTATTCGAGTAATCCACATAGATAACATCTGGGGAAGGAAGTGGTATCTTTCCTTGTAGTAGGTTGGAGTGCAGGTCCAGAACAATGAGATTGGGAATAACATAAGGTTCTTGCAGACCCACCAGGAAATTATGCGAAAGATTTAGACTGTTGAGATCTCCATTACCAACTTCCCAAATCCAATTAGGTATTTCCCCAGAAATTTGGTTGTCGGAAAGATCTAACTGAAATAGTTTTGATTGGTTCTTTAGATTAGGAATTACCTTCAGGTTGCAGGAGGCCAATCTCAGTGTGCTAATCTGGGGAGGGAAAGAACCACTACTACTAGCATTCACTGTCAAGCTGTTGTATGAAAAGTCAAGGCTTGCAAGATTGGTCAGCCCTTGAATCTTATCCAGCAGTACAGTTCCAGTGAAGTTGTTGGAAGAAAGCAAGAGGATAGCAAGTTTTTTTAGCCCAAAGATTGACAAAGGAATGGGCCCTTCTAGTCTGTTGTCACTCAAAACTAGGGTATCCAACCGAGAGGAAGAGGCATCTGCAAATTCAGGAACTTTGCCCCTGAATTGGTTGTTGGCAAGCTGAAGCTTCTGCAATGATGGGATTGCAAAGAGAGACGAGGGAATACTACCATTGAGGGAGTTGGACCCCAAGTCAAAATAAGAAAGATTCTGAAGCTGTTCCCAACTGGATGGGATCGCATCAGTGAACAGATTATGAGAGAGATCTAGGTAAGTGAGATTTTTGGACATGTGAAAGGATGGGATCGGACCACTGAAATTGTTAAATGACAGGTCCAAATAAACTATTTGGGTGAGAGTGGCCATTGAAGCGGGTATTTGTCCTGTAAAATTGCAATCTGATAGCCCTATTCTTGACAAATTTTTGAGGTTGCCTACGGAATCTGGTAATGTCCCTGAGAAACTTGTGGAACTAAGCATCAGTGTCCTAAGAGACAGATTCTGAGGAAACTGTGGCAAAGAACCTTGAAGTAATTCGTTGTTTGATAAATCAAGATTCTGTAGTGTTGGTACCTGGAAGAACTTTTCTGGAAATGTTCCAAGTAGCCTACAGTAACTGAGCCGCAGGGAGGTCAAATTCATGAATTCTGCTAAAAACCCGGGAACTGTAGAAGACAGATTATTCTGATCCAAACGGACTACTGCAAGTGAACGAAGTTCTGCAAGGGAAGTGCTGATAGGGCCCGAAAGAAAACAGTTGGACAAACTCAGGACTTGTAGATTAGGCAGTGAAGATGATAAAGCTTTGCACCATTCATTTCCCTGGGCTGATATATTAACCCCATCAAGATACAGTTCGCTAATCTCTGTGAAGTTCTGAAGAAACGTGCTTAAGTTTGGATTCTCGAGTTTCAAAACAGAAGATCCCAAGAAGTTAAGACTTGACAAATCAAGTGTAACCAACTTTGTCAGGCCTGAAATCGAACTGGGAATTTGTCCTGCGAAGCCAGCATTAGAAAGATTCAGATGAGTCAAGTTTGTGAGACTGGCCAGCCTGGACGGAATTTGAATTGCATTGAATCTATTATAAGCCAAATTTAGGCTATTCAGATGCTGAAGAGCGAATAGACCAGTCGCATTCTCAATTCCACCGGAGATTGATTCATTGCTCAAGTTGAGATTAATAACATGTCCCGCCTCATCACAATCCACACCACTCCAATTACAACAATCTGTGTTTTGATCCCACTGCGCCAGATTTACAGATGAAGTAGAATTGAACAGGAGGCTGTTCTTGAGTTGGAGTAACAATGACTGCTGATCACTCTGACATTGTCCAGAAACCAAAACTACATGGCTGAAGCAGCTTGCGAAAAAGATGATCAGGAAAAACCATGACAGTAGATTTCTCATTGGTAACTAAAACCAAAAACACCCATATGACTGAAACATAAAGGACATAAAAATCCTGTTGTGACTTTAAAAAGTTACATACCCACTTACATGACCTTTCGGCTTAATAGCTTCAACTTATGGCCGACCAAAAACTATGTCAAGTTTGGCAAGAGAAGGCAACCAAAAGTATTGAGTGGAAGGTTGGAGAAGAAGCAACAATGGAGATAAATTCAAGAGAATAGTTAGGATGGTCAGCGTATGAGGTGTTATTCGTATAGGGATTTTCTGTAGCATTAGTTAGTGGTCGACTTGTTTATTGTATTATCATACAAGGCCTCAAAGGTCGACTTTTTTGTTTAATAAATAATGTTGTAGACTTTTGTGTGCGGTAGCTTCATTTTGAAATCTCTTATTTAATAAAAGAAATCCGCTCACCAGTTTTTAAATATTGTAATGAATGATGATCAGCAATGAGCCGTAGATTTTGGCTCCCAGTACAGGGATTTAGGTCAACATCCAATAATTATTAGAAAGAGACCCTAACAGTTGATAGATATTTCTGAAGGTAAATATTTTTAGAATTATAAATAATTGTCAAACATACCAACAAAGGGGTTTTGATTTTCTCTTAATTAAATTAAATTTTTTTTATATATATTTAAGTTATGATTGATACTAATAGCGGTGAGTATATATCTAGAAATTTGACTGTAAAAATAAAGAAAGAAGAAGAAAAGAGAAAGAAGTAAGATCTGTGTTGGATGTCTATCCACTGAACCGAAGAGGAAAAAGAAGACAGTGAGTTTCACATAAAATTGAATACGAGGGTATTATATTATATCGTCAATTATGATTTTGTACGGTGTGCTTACGACTCTTGTGAAGTGGGCACCTCTGTCCATGTCACATGAATTAAAGTTAACGACTTTTTCTCAGGCTTCATATTACTTTCTCACCTGCGTATTTTTTAAATGGTTCGTTTGAATATGGAGTCGTTGGAGAGGTAAAATTTATAAAAAAAATTACTTAAGTTTATTAATTATTTTGGATAAGGTTTTAGAATAATATTGGGTAATTAAATAGGAGAATATTACAAAACAAAATTTAAAAATTTATAAAAAAGTTCCTAAGTTTGATAATTTAACTAAATACTTCAATATATAAAAATTTTGTAAAATGACAAGAATATCTCTACCACCCGCAGTGCTAGATTTCGGCTACCACCATCGAAATCTGGTAAAAAAATTGTGTTACGACATATATCGGTTAAGTCTGGTAGGTATGGCGTAGATATGGCCTTTTTCGGTCAGATCTAACCACGGATCTGGTTAGAAAATACCAGATCTATGGTCAAATGTGGCCGTCGACGACCGCAAAAGTCCATCTTATGGTCGTTGTTGTCGGTCAATGATGGCCAAGATTTGGTCGTTAGATCGGTGAATTGTCGGTAAGTTTTGGTCGTGGTGTAGGCCGTTGTAACAGATTCCGACTACCACCAACAGTGGTTGTTAGATTCTGGCAAGTATGGGTGGGTGGGGGTGTTTTTGTTAATTTTTAAATTTTTTTCTAGGTGTATTTTTGAAATTAATAAACTTAAGAGGTTTAAAAATAATTAAAAAATATACTAATATTTCTCAAATAAGGTACCAAACAATATTTTGAGAATATGGATAGAAATATGGAACCAAATGCACCCAACAGAAAACAAACTCAATAGGACTTTTGAAGATAGAAGATCAATAAATCCTTTGGTGATAAAAGGTTAAATTTTGGTGATTGAGATTTATCAGAATTTGATTTGGGAGGGGCAATCACATAAATCTTAACTACTCAATTGCTTGTGATTGACATGATCCACGAGAATATGATTTGAAGGATTTTAGTGAGTGACATAAAAAAAAAAGAATGATAGTGGTATAAACTCATAATGATACCAAAATAAAAAATAAAATTTAAATTTAAATATTAAAAGTTTATGACTATTTATTATTTAGGTGCAAAAAGTCGTCCACTCAAAATTTTCTAAAACTTGGTGTGACTTCCTTGTCAGCCTGCAGTCATGTCGGACCTTGGAAATGTGGATGTTGAAAAGGTCATTCTTTTAATTTTCGTTAAACTAATGCTTCATCTTTTTTATCCAAATAAAAACTACTTTATATCACACCGCCATTAAACTGCGAATGAATTTTGGTAAAAGTTTCAGAAATTTCACATTAAGTTTCATGGATCTTTCAATTCAAGTTTACAAACAGACAAAAACGCTGAAGAAGATTGAATTGAAAAGTCTCATGGTGAAACTTGATGGGGTTTACCAGAACCTGTAAACAGTCAACATTTGAATTTTGATTGCCATTTAAAGGGAAAGATAAGTTTATAAGACATGCCAACGACTTATTTCATGTAAGCTAGAAATTAGTACTCAGTCTTAAATAATTGGACCCACCTCCCATTGTTTCCAGTAGACTTGATGAATTATTTTTGGAAGTCTGGCTCCATGTTAGGTAGAAATATAATTTCGCCATTGATAGTTTACTCGACTTATAGTCACATACGACACGTTTGTTATTTACTCTAGTAATTACTAAACTCTGAAACATTGGATACCAAACTCTTTCCTGGAATCCATTATTTTCCATCTCAACTGTCATTTTATGTGGGATTATAACGGGCACAAATAGTCCGGGGTTAAAGAGTCTAAAATGTTGAAGAATCTGGGCTGGAGAAGCCAGTGGAGATTGGTAAAATTCCACTTGTCTGCCATAACTTCTTGTTTCTAGAAAACTGAATCTAACCCTTTAAGATTAATGCAAAATCTTTTTTAAATTTAAGTCTTCAAATGATAACAATTGCTTCTTCATGTGTGAACTAGGAGAATCTAACATAATATTAAGGATAAATTAAACAAAGATGGAGTTTGATATCCATTTGGTTGCTTGTTGAGGCCCTTGCCGTATAGCCAAAGAATTATTAAGGACAATCAACAAGAAGACAAAGAGAAAGCATGATTCATGATCCACTTGCATTAAACGAGCCGCATGTTGTTTTCATGGAGCGTCAAGGCTAAGGCACCACTGGTTGGGAGATAGTGTCAAGGATAAGGCACCACTGGTTAGCAGATAGACTTTGAGGGATTATTAGTGAAGAAGGAAATTTGGGACGCTGGCCTTGAAAGATTGGGTTGAAAGTCCATTTCAGGAGTTATTTTCTATCGACCTTTTTCCCACTAATCATGCCAAATTCATTGACCATTACGCGTTGGTAACGAGACTTTATTGTATTAGTTCCATCAATCTTGGCTGAGTTCATGTTATCGTTGTCTTTTTCAAACTTCTTTTATAGATTTATCTGACTTATCCCCTTAGTAAAGGCCAAGATTCCCCATAGCTTCCCATATGAGACTCCTAAAAGGCTAGAGTGATCCATCCGGACTCGATAAATTCCACTTGAAAAAGATAGTTTGACAATTCCATTTGAGAGGGGACCCTGAAGAGAATTGGGTTTGCTTTAGAGACAATTTTGTATGAGGCTAATTTGTCCTATCCAGAAGGCCATCTCCTTACACGAAAGGAGACTCATCCTCCTTAAATGTCCTCTTTAATGGTTCAATATGGCACAACCTCCTTACTCATCCTATGAACCCAGTTCTTTGATTCAATAACAGAACAAAATTTGCACTAACATTTCTGATTATAATGGAAAAAGAACCGAGTTCAAAATAAAATTCTAGAATAGATTAGTAAATTCCTGCAAATTAATTATAAGGGTTTCCATCCCACACTTGCATCCAGGGCCGGCTTAAGGGGTAGGCAGGTGAGGCACCTGCCTAGGGCCCCAAAAAAATGGGGGCCTAAATTTTTTATAAATTTTTTTTTTTTTTTTTGAATATCTTACAAAATGAAAATGGTTTAATATTTCTTATCTAAGCCAAGGGGCCCCCAAAAAAAAGCCGAAAAAGCCCAAATTTATTATAAACTTTTTATATATATTCTCACCCAAAGTTTAACAAAATAGCAAGTTTGTACCTCTAGTTTTATATATTCTAGTTTATACCCCAATTAACACATTGAATCTCTTTTAACATGGAAGACTAAAATGTCATTTACATATCTCAAATACTCACCCCCAATTCAATCCCAAAATTTGACATTCACATAAATCATCTCCAGCCCTCTTTGCCGCCAGTGGTTTGGAGTTTATTTCGGCACATTTTGGTTCCGGTCGATTTTCCACCAAAATCATCATTTTAATCATTTCCCAACCTTGATAGCCCTCGATTTGACTAATTTTTTATGAATTTCGCAACTCAACTCCACCACACAACAACCATTCAGCCTTTTTGGCATGTACCCCGACATTGTTGGCCTTCCCCGACCCCACCACCTTCCTCCCCTCAGCCCTCTCACCAAAACCCCTCCATACCTATCCGTTTACCTGTCAATCGCCAGCCATCGGTACCTTTTGGGCCGTGACTTCTCAAGTCTTTTCTTATCAATCTTGGCATTGAAACATCACCATTTCACCACCCTCACTTCTCCAATATCTACTCTTCAAAACCCCCCACCAACCTAACCTTGTTAGTCTGCCGATTGCTATCCACTTCTCCTAGTGATTTTTCATCTCAAAAGGCAAAAAAAAAAAAAAAAAAAAAAAAAAAAACAAATTTAAAATTTTTTTAATATATGCTTATATTATTAGAGGGCCCCAAAGTATCTCCTGCCTAGGGTCACAAATGTTCTAGAGACGGCCCTGCTTGCATCATCTGATCAGTCAACAACCACAGTCATATAATAAGTCTTTCTAAAATTTACTAAAGTAGTTTTAGACATTGGACATATTATGATTGTTACACTTGTTCACCCTCCATTTTAATTTGACATACAGAAATATACAGCATCATTTTATACCATGACAGTAACATATAGTAGCATGGTTGTATTTCTTGTTTCCTTTCATTAAAACAACGTTTTCTGAATTAGTTTATGCATTTCTGCCATAATCATTGCGTTCGCCTCCAGATTCCATAAACTCTTCTTCGGTTATGGCTCCTATTTCTGTTTAGCTAAGTTGGAATCTTGAAGAGAATTTGATCAGTAACTTACATCATACAAGAGGTAAGAATCATGGGGTCCGTTTGGTTTGTTATGTTGGATAAGATTTTAGAAATAGTATTGGATAGTTGAATACGGTGATTATTACGAGGTAAAATTTAAAAATTGACAAAAAAAATCCATAGGTTTTCTAATTTAACTAAACACCCCAATATATAAAATTTTTGTAAAATGACAAAAAACACCTCCACCCACCCACAGTGCCAGATTTCGGCCACCACCGTCAGAATCTGGCGTTATGACGCAGACCGGTTGAAT